ATCATCTTGTGTGTATTTATAACATTATAACAGATAACATTATCAGATTTTACTCCTAGAGACGTGATAGATAAAACTCGTTACAATAAAACTAAATAAAACTTTTTTACCCCCTCAAAAAATAGTTTGTAGCCCAATTGTACCCCTATTTCATTTTTCAAATATTATTATGGGGGGAAACCCAATAAGCCCTGTAAAGGCGGCTTGTGTACACGGTGCTTCGTCAGCGCTATTGCATTTGAAATCCCCCCCCCCCTCTCACAATCTAGTTCTGACCACGCCCACTACCATACACGACATTTATGTTCTGGATTCATTCTACTACCAGGTTTACATTGGTACGCTTTACTAAATTCTTCACTGTTAGACAGAGTACCTATTATCCTGTAGTGTAGAAAAAAGTTGACATTAATGGAAGGGACGTAACTCGAACTTGAAAAAAAAATCAGACAAGAATCTATGAGTCAATAAGATCAGAGTTTCAAAATTAATTACATGGCCTCACCTGAATCTACCGGGGCTGTGTGGGTCTGATAATATTTGGTTATGTTGTGCTGCCGGCGTTCGAAGACCGCACCATCCCTGTGATAGATACCAAACAAAGCCATTGAATAAAAGTAATTTTAATTGTGGTCTAAAGCTGTTGTTAATGGGAGATAAACAAGATCTTTTATTTTGGAGGTAATTTTTTTTTTTGGCGGGAAAAGACCATACTGTCTACAAAAAGGTACATGTATAAATATCTTTCTGTTTCAGCGTATTCCGAATTCTGATCTAAACCACATTACTGCAATTAATCATCAACTTCAAGGTAGGACAGATTAAGTGATGCAAGCTTTTTCAAGGTTGATGAATGTATTCGAACTTGAATAGGCTACATGTGAAGCCCAGACCGAAGTGCCAATAAAAAGACGATTCCTACCTGAGCAAAATTAAGGAAGAAAAGTTGATCATGTTTTAACTCTACGCCTGGAAGCTGTTTAAAATCTTCTGAATGGTTTTCTAACCATTTATGATAAGCCTGTAAATATATGATAACTACATAAAATGAAGTCGGAAGAGAGTCGTAAGTCAATTTATGTATATCGGGAAGACTCAAATCCTCCACAATATATTCTGATGCCACGGCCTGTGGTTCTGAAAGTCGACCTGGTGTTGGCATTCAAACCCTATTACCATACCATTCAATGTCGACATCTTCGATTCGTGTAATCCCAGAACATAACAAGATCGGAGCAGGGACAACTCATACCCCCCCCAAAAAAAAAAACAAGTCCGAGTTTGCATAGTCATTGGCCCAAGTCTGTAAAAGAGGACCGGGTGTGTTTTGGTCCAAGTTGTGATATATTCACCAGATCCAACCTGAATCAAGGCATATATATTTTAGCTTGAATAACCCATCACGAAATTGTCTGTTTTTGTCAAGCTCCGTAGGCTATCAAAAACCATATTAAACTGACAAACTCAATCGGATACTAGCATCTGGTGTTCTAGAAGAGAAACCTGTCCATGTATTGCCAATGACACTCGCTGCACTAATTGAAAACTTTATGCCAGAAATCAGTTAACAGAAAATATAATTTTACCCTAAAGGCAACATGGATACCACCATTATCAGCAATATTTTCACCTTGGGTGTTCTTTCCCTTTATCTGAAAAAAAAATCACTAAATCTAAAGCTTCACGGGGTTATATTGTTCGATATCTGTGTACTAACAGCTGAACGAAAGTGTCCCAAATGCAGATCAGAGGAAACGAACATGTCCCAAAGCCACGCTTTTGACACTTCCGAGCATGTCGTCCCACAGTTAACATGGGGCATGAGGTTGTAACCATCTCATTCTCTCTGTATATCAATGTAATAATGTTTTTTAAAAACACAAGTGAAGTTCTACATTGCAGTTACTAGTACATGTACACAGAAACTAGGGAATTAACCACTAAACACTGTATCGACCTTTTTTTAGTGAGAAACCGAAGAGAGCAGTTATTGTCACAGATGAAACCGTGACATACTTACATGATCATTACCAATAGTAAACTTAGAATACTGATCTATAATACATTGAGCTAGATCATTAAAATTATCTGAAGAGCTGTTCGTCCACCAAGATTTTAAATTTCCGTCTTTATCATACTGTCTACCTGAAACAAAAAATAGAACTGTTATGGTAGTTGATTAAATTGTCGACAAACCACACGCCAAGCCAAGTAGGAGATTGTGTGAATGATTACATAATTTTAACAGTGGGCCATTAACACCACATCATTGTAATCCTTGTTTGGGAGCTCGGATTTATTGTTTTAGTGTCCAAGCTGAAAGTTGAAATGAAAATAAAGCGAATACAATGGTATCCAGGCGGAAGGCGATACATCTAGATTTAACAAAGTATAGTTACAGTTCATAGCACAAGGATGCAAAGCTAAAGGTCTACCATGAAAGTTTAGCTAGAGACAAATTCAGCAAGAATTGCCGATTGGGATGAAAGAATGAAACGATTCGTCCAAAGATCAATATTGTCCTTGTGTCGAGTTGCCAGTATGTTCTAAGACAGATTACTCAATGAAGGTGTGACAAATAGAAGTCGTTAAGACATTCGTTACAGTTCATATACACGTCTTCATACAATCTGACAGACAGGGCGATTACGCTGCTGGTGAACGTAATGAAATCCAAGCATAACTACCCTGATCATCAAAACCATGTGTTATCTCGTGTCCAATAACTAGACCAATTCCACCATAAATTAATGACCTGCAGATAAAAGAACACAGCACAATAAATTTTGAGCTTTCGACTACAAGCATGTGAAATATGATTAATAAAAATATGATTTAATTTATAAATAAAATAATCGTGCAAAATCAACTTCAATGATTAATATGAGTAAAGAAGCAAGAATTTTTTTTATTAAATATATAAATGAAAATAAATGTAAAAAATGTAAAAAAAACAGTAGTCTCAATCAAACAGACTTACCTTGGGTAATGTTCGTTGTAGAATGGAGGTTGTAAGATACCAGCAGGAAAAGCTGAAAGGTCATCGAGATGGAAATTAAACTTTGTGAACGATTATTAGAAATTGGATGTGTTTGGGATCGGAAGGGACATTTTTTCTGACAAACGTAACATAATGATAGAAACTGTATTTCTAGTTTGTATGTCATTAAACTTAGTAAATGCTGATTCAATTTGTATAGCCAATACTATTTGTACTTCACAATCCTTGCCAATAGAATGTATACTTACTAATAGAATATATACTTACTAATAGAGTTTATACTTACTAATAGAGTTTATACTTACTAATAGAGTTTGTACTCGGGTCATAGAAGGCATTAACAATAGCAGCGCTCTGATACCATCTGAAACAACATACAGACCAGTTGTAATCAACACAAGGCTTGGGATTTGATAGGGAGAATGTTTTTAGATTGACTGAAAATCCCGGATGCAGTCAGTCCAGCTGAGAAGATGAAGTATTCGTGAATGTATACCCATTATATACGAATTATATCTTAGCTATTAGCTGTTGAGATAGCGAGTTTGAGCTCCATATTATGAGTTCAGTGGTGTGTGTAAACATAGGGACAGTGTACCAGATATACCTCTGCACCTTTACGAAGAGTCACTAAGGCCAATTTTATTTATTATTCCATGAGGGATTGATGTACATTTTCCTTACTTGGTTTTGTCTACAGATTCCTTTATTTTTTTCAAATTAGTTGCAACATTGTGTTTCGTTTTATCTAGAACATTGCGGAACAGATGACTATCAGAAACGTTTACCTGGATAACAAATATATATCTTCAGATTAATAAGGATAACAGGGGTTACTCTAGAACTGTAAGATAAGCGAACTTGTGGCGTGGCTACCCAGACTAGTGCTAGACACGGTTATCCAGGCTAGTATAATATATTTACAGAATAGAGCTTATAGCTTAGTGAACGTCATAGTTTGACTCGATGAACCGGCTGTCGTTAGTCGTTAATATAATCGCAGAGTGTTAATAAGAATGAAAGACAGTCTAAGCAGTCGGTATCATTACGGCAATGGTTACCCTCGTGGTTGAATGGTTCTGAATGGTTCACAAATAAATTAGTAATTTTACCTCAGCTAGGAATTTATCTAGCTCGTCGTTATCTTTAATCCACTCAGGGTAGGCGATTCTCTCTCTCAATGCCGATACCTTAAAGAGTTTACAAAAATAATATATATATATATATATATATATTTCTTAACGATAGAAGATTAACCCCATGATCGCCCCAAAAACATAATGCCTTATTGTCGATCCAGTCGTATTATTATGGAGATGTTAGTAGCGTTCGTGGTATTCCCTCATGCAACACAACATTCATATTCTATCTAAATGAATTTCCCCCACAACGAATTCAATATACATTTAGATATCGTCGATAGTTGTTTTAAAAAAATATCGAAAATTGAATTTGGCTTCATGATGACGGAGATAGCTATAATCCAACCAACATAGACATAAAGGTGGAATATTTTTTACCCCAGTCTCCTAAACTACCTACTAAAGTGAAACACGATAGAAATATGTTATAGTTTAGGACTATACTTTACTACCTTTTCCTCAGCTTTATCTTTTGTTTCCTGGTCCATCCATGTTGTTTCGTTGATAATTTCACTGAATGATTGACGAATATTTGTGATTAATACTTTAGCCTGAAATAGTTTAAAAAAACTAACTCAAAATTTTCTTCATCGATCAAATTCTGTCTGTATTTAGACATCTGCGATCGAAAAGTAAGAATTTTCAGTTCGAAACGCGATACGGGTACCTCAAGGAGATTTTATCAGCAATTCAGTGCATTGACGATTAAATTTGATCGAAGTCTTACCTCCTTTTTCGCCTCTTCGTCAAAATATTTATCTACAAACATTCTGCCACCTGATACAGGAAACATATGTAGGGTATGATCAAGGCAAGTCCCCCATCTTGCACTGTCGTGTTTCGCTCCACTCATTACCTATAAGAATACTTTTAAGGAATTTGGCAGTTGAGGACCCATATCGTCCTACATCTTCACAATGTCATACTATTGCAAACTTCGTACTTATACCTTGAGTGCAATAACCACTATTATTTTCACACGGAATGCAATGAAAGGATTGGATTGTACGCAAGCGAATACAGCTAATTAGTGCCCTCGACAGGCATTATGGCTTTGTGTATGACGACATTACAACACGTGAGAATGAAAACAACGCCCTGGAAGTAACAACATTATTCGTTACGGGTACGTTTTGCTGAATAGCAAGTTAACTATGTGTCGGATTTCAAATCTGAAAAATTCTATGGATAGCGGAATTACGCCTAGAAGAGTAAATATCTAGACGACTGTGTCCCTTTAAATATAGAATTACAAACTGAGAGAAGAATCGAACCTTGTTATAATCGTGTTTCAAAATTCGGAATTCTTCTGATAAATATTGTATATTGGACAGGACAAATCTCATCATGATATAATTGGCCACTGTCCTGGAAATGAATGAAATGAATATTATCTGTTCTACTTTTATAATCCAAAAATGGCAACAGCATAATCCTACTCTGTCGAGGAATATCGAATGTGCACATAAATAACAGTGAAACAATTAAAGTAGCTATGAAATTGCTACGAAGTAACACAGAAATGGCTACAAAGTAACACAGAAATTGCTACGAAGTAACACAGAAATGGCTTGAAAGTAACACAGAAATGGCTTGAAAGTAACACAGAAATGGCTTCAAAGTAACACAGAAATGGCTACGAAGTAACACAGAAATGGCTTCAAAGTAACACAGAAATGGCTTGAAAGTAACACAGAAATGGCTTCAAAGTAACACAGAAATGGCTACGAAGTAACACAGAAATGGCTTGAAAGTAATTGGAATGGAGTTTTACGTATCACTTTTTAATCTGTTTAGGAAATTGAACTGTTATAAGAATAATCTTACTTTTTAGGCGTATTGTTCACCAATTCTATAACATTTTTTAAATATCCCGGCTCGTAGACTACAATCTCTTCTTCTACGCTCATTGAATTATAGAAGTTTTTAAAAGCTAGGAAAAGGTACTTTATCCAGTTAAACTGAAAACAGATTAATTTGGCATTTAAGTAACCATCGCAATTTAAAAAGATACCACCTTGTTGTTACTAATAGTTAGAGCTTGATTTGAAACCCTTTGTCTTACTAAAAAAGACTCCTACTATACAATTTTGATACAGAATATATCAATCCACATTAAATGCTTATCTCGTCCCCAGGTCCAATATCATATGAAATAATTCAGACCAAGTTCATGGCTGTTCGACTCACCCCATTGCTGTCTACGTTAAGGGACTTTATTGCAATCTTATGGTATAGTTTATTGGTGTCTCTTCTTTCCGAAGCTGGAGTTGTGAGCTGAAAAACAAAACGATATATATAAATAAAACAATGTAGTAAAATATTAATAACTTGAGCTTAAACTTTTACTTGGACTGGCACCGGTATCGGCACGTTTAATTTTAATTCACTTGACATAACCTGGAGCCTGGCACTGGCATGGAACAGGAACTGGAACTAGAACTGGAGCTGGAACTATTAATTTTCATTCATTTGACATAAAACCTAATAGCATGTTTAAAAAAAATCAAAACTCACATTGGCCATCTGAATCTCAAAATCTATGACGTCTCTGACGTCTGATTCAGGACTCTTGGCGCCAAATTTCTTAGCTACCTCCACAACGTACTTTTCATAAGCTTGTACATGTACATCATCTCTACCATTGAGATAGTAACTTCTCGATACCATAAATAGAAGACCCTGGTCGAGCTGAAATTAAGCAACGAGTAATATAAAGCGATTACCTTAAGTTGGTTTGTGAGAACTGGAAAGGGTAAACTAAAATAATTTGGGAGAACTGAAAATGGTCAACCTATTCATACGATTTGATCATATTTCTAGTACCCCTGAAGACTACATATATTCAAGACTCAAATCAACCTCAAAATGGCCAAAATGTCACTTGAACGCTGAGAATTAATGTTATAATCTAAAGACTAATTGCCATCATGTGGTGGATCACCTACCAGAATCACGTATTCAGAGGTATCCTTATCATCGGGCTGTACGGACGTTCTTATCAAACCATTACCCCCGACCAGAAGGTAGTCAGCTAACAACTTCTCCAAATTGAAGCCGGTCTCATTCCAATTTGGTAGGAGTAATGGCCAACCACCCAACTCATTGATAGCTTGGTCTAGCTCTGGTTTACTATTCATAGCTATGGAACCTAGAAATAGACAAAATAATGGAGATTTACGCCGCGGTTTTGAAGTGAAAGGAAAAGGGGATTGTGATCAGTCCAATTAGGCACTGAAATCGGATTTTGTTTCTGGACATTTTGATTCTTCCCAGGCCACTTTTACTACACATGAACGCATCTTGTACCTTATTCGACCAGCTAAGGCTAAGAGAAAGGATGAATACTTCGATCAAGTTGATCAGCATCTCAACACACTATGTTTTAGGATTTTCAAGATACCCTCTCGGCTGTTTGCCGATACCCGGATAACCAAGACCATTGTCCACCTAACGAAAAAACCCATTGTCAGTACTTACTTTCATTCATACACGATTGATAAAATATCTTAGTTTTCTTGATGGCGTCGATGTCAGATGCGTCATCTTTTTCTATGACTCCTGAAAATTAGAACTATAAATTGACACATTATACAACACCAATTCCACATTGGGACGGTACTCGCTTTACCACGAGATGTAACCGGGAACATTTTTTAATAGATAATAACTAAGGTTCATCAGAATCTGGTCTTCCAGCTGGTCCTTGGCCCAATTTTTGGCATATCCCGGTTCTTTCCCGAATCATCCATACCTATTTACAGGTTTGTCGACTAGGATAGTGAAGAAAGCAGTGGCGGCACCAGCCTTCCGAGACTGGGGGTACAAATAAGGGGGAGACTGACTGTATGGGGGGGGGGGGAGACAAATGCTGAGGCTGAGGCCAATTATTTTGGCATTTGACTCTCGCTATTCTTTATTCAAAGATTCGCGGATAACGATCAAGCGCACAATGCTAATCGCTAGACAGTCGCCAACAATATGGATTTAGTTGTATCAAAGATGCCATTAATAACTACCTTTGAGTTTTGCCTTAACGTCGTCTCTGACCTCGTTAAACCGTGACAAACCAGACTTGTCCTCTGGTATCACGTGCTTCTGGTTCCATTTACCACAAGAATATTGGAAGAAGTCTTCACAAGGGTCTATGGATTGGTCCATTGCGTCTAGCAGATCTGCCGCTGCAAACGAAACACAATGGAGTTTTACGTTTCTGTTAATGTAAGTATTGTGTCAAAATTTAGAACTTTGACATTAGGCAATACTCTTTCTAATTTTCGACGAATCCTTATCATGCACATAGGGCCTGGTTTATTGTCCTATCAAAAGCCTTTCTCCATGTCAGCGTCTTCGACCGACCTACGCCACCAAAAGAATAATCGTGAATAACATTATTAAACCTAACTAATGAATAAATGAAATAATAATAACAACAATAGAATGATTATTGAATTATGATAATAATTGGAGCGAAAACATATTCATATAGGATAACAGACATTAATAGGCCTACTGTTGGTATAATAGTCGTGGCCAGATGGTCGGAGCGACCACGAAGGCAAAAACACATCCGCGCTTATTTAATGCAAGAAATAGAAATAGAAATCAAGAAATATTAAGATGCAGGGTTTTCCCAATCCGATAACCTTCAAATACCATACTGTAAACATGGGTGACAACTTTCTAAGTCCGTTATTCAAAGCAAAGGAAAGAGAAAGTATAGTGTATACCTATCTGTACAAACATCCAAAGAAGAAATTTAGTGCGGTTCGAATACTTACAAGTTTTAACACATTCTGGAGTCATGCACACTGCAAATAAAAGAAAGAAATATCAAAGTCAGCCGTGCTCGATCGCTTATTGGCAGACTTTTTTTTCGATTTCCAAATGTCGTCCAAATATTCACTTAGTTCTTCAGTTTTTGCCCTTTTTTCCTTCCTAACGATATATTCTAAGGCATGTAGCACACCAAGCATATAGTATATCAAGTATATAACATATTAAGGATATAGTATATCAAGTATATAACATATAGCATATTAAGGATATAGTATATCAAGGATATATCATATGAAACATACAGTACATCATGTATTTAGCATACCAAGCATATAGCATATCAAATATTATAACATATCAAGCACATAGTATATCAAGCATTAATGCATATCAATCATACAGTACATCAAGTATGAAGCATATCAAGCATATACTATATGAATCAACAAACATATCAAGCATACAGTATATCAAGTATAAAGCATATCCAGTATATAGCATACCAAGTATATAGCATATCAAAAAGATAGCATATCAAAAAGATAGCATATCAAATATATAGCATATCAAGTATATAGCATATAGCATATCAAATATATAGCATATCAAGTATATAGCATATAGCATATCAAACATACAGTATATCAAACCGTCAGCATATCAAGTATATCATGCATGAAGCATATTATCAAGGAATAATATATCATGTACCGTCGTCCTGATGAATTGATCTGGTTGTCAGGGTGTGTAGTATATGGGATGAGGCTCCGTCTGTGTGCCCCGTGCTACCTTCTTTGATCCCGACTTGAAACTCGGTAACGAGGTTTACTTTAGTTTCCTCTGAAAATACATGCAGGGTTAGTATATGATATCATTTCTCAAGAGCATGCTAGACAGACGCATCCGAACCTTTAGTACAGGTTAGTACAGGTAATTTTGTGTGTCCATCACAAAATAATATTAAGGAAAACGTTTCATTCAGGAGTACATGCTGATACAAATGGAATTCTTTTCAGATAGATATAACATTTTTTTCGCTTTGCCGAAACGTAATTGAGCCACCTACATCATAAATCATACAACTGTAGGCTTCCTTACACTTATATATATGTAATGATATAGGTAATATCTCTTGACGTAATCGTCACTAAAACCGCTGGTTATAACAAACCGCTGTCATACACGACAGCTGACATTGGACTCAATTATAAGCATTGATGAAAATCGTCCAGCCACAGTCTTCTTTGCAAAAAATAAAGATGGGGTAATAAAATAGATAATCAGCACTTACACCGATAACAACAGCACCTTATTGAAGCCTTAACGTATTTGAACCGTCATCTGGTATAGCATATACACGTAAGAATACAATTATATCAATGACATGCTTTGATGGGATTGCGTTATGTAGTGGATTCCCCCATTTGGCAAATTGTTGTCCGTAGCTATCTGCACACGCAGCAAAACACTCACCGAGCCTACAGTCGCGCTTAAAAAGAAACATTGATTAAAATTACCCGACGGGTCATCATCTTCTTGGTATTTTAAGGCAAGAACAACTGCCAGCGCAGCAGCAACGATCAGAAAAACTACCGTCAAAAACATCATGCCTTTCTCTCTGCCAGTCCATTTCGCCATCTTCGTTTCTGGAATAACGAAAACAGAAATTACAAGCTTATGAGTACTCACCATATTTGATAAAAAATTATTTTGACCAATCAGTGTGTATCGTTGACACACCTCTTTCCAGTTTCGCTTCGGACATCCTGCTATTCCAGAAAAATATTGACTGATTATTGAATGCCCTCCACGAATAACAGGAACCACGGAATTGGGCAGAAAAAAGAAATTGTTCATATTCCAATGTAATAAACCTCATCATCATTATCATTGTCATCCTTATCGCCATCATCTCCATCATTATAAAAACGGGATCTTTACATAGCATCTTACCCACATGGCTTCCAAATGGGCCATATTTCACATATTTTCCCTTGAACATTTGATCTAGCTCGCTCTGTTCATGCTCAATATAACAATATGAACCACGTATAAATAAACTTCAAAAGCAATACTTATATATATATATACTGACTATTTTGTCGGAACTGCATAATGATTATTGTGTTCTATTATTCTTGGTTCAGTACGCTTATATTGATAAAGTTCCGGCTTGCGTCGAATTTTTTTTTTACACAGAATATTGTTCAAGTGGCAATGCCAGCCAATTTACAGAATAGATTTTGAATTGTTTATCATAGTTGTAATGAACGAAATTCATCTTTTGGTGAGAAATTTTGAAATTTTGATATTTTTTTTTGGACAAATTCATGTACAAAGTTTGTAATATGCTCAAAAAACAAGTATTACTTCTTCTACTAACATTACTGGGAAAAAATAATTATTTTTTTAAATAGTGTTAAGTCAATTTAAAGGACAATGGTATAAATATTTCAAAATATATCCTGTGAATTAATGCTCACTGTCGCTTTAAACACCATATTAATATTCAAATGATCATATGTCATGCCTAGATAATTAATGATAAAACTATTATTTATAATGAAAATTGAATCCATTGGAGCGTCGTCAATTGATTACAAAATAATCAATATTATGTTGAAGGAGTTAAAGTCCCTTTTTAGCCTTTGTATGCGTTTCGGTAACATAATTTCTACTTGCACCGTCACGATTTCCTATCCTGTCGTCCATTAGACGGATGTGCAACAATTGAAGCTATCGGTGAAAACGTATGAAATTCGGACTGTTTATGACCAATTTTTTCAACAATTAAATGAGATGTCGGAATGACAACAAAAATTCAAAGAGTTTTGTTCGACGGGGAATTAATTTTAAAAGTATCTCGAGAATATGCTTAAAGGTACTTAAACTTACCCAGGAAGATCCAAGATCTTCAGCAAATATTCCTGTACTATTGTCTTATACAACGGGTCCTCCTTGATCGAGGACACTAGTCCTTTATACTGCTTGCAACAGTCAGATTCTCCAATCCTTTTTGGTTGATGTTGTTCCTCTGAAAGAGGAAGATGAAACGCCACAAACAAGTGACCGATTTCTAATTTCTGCAAGATAATCCTCTCTTGTTATTGAACGACTGAAATTACACCAATTGAGAACAGGATTCCAGTATTCTCTCGACTGGAAGTTTCCTTAGTCCTCTTCAGTGATTTCAAACGATCCAGAATTCCAACATTCGGGGCTACCTGCTGACTGACTAATACCACAAACAGTGCAAAATAGTCATCAAAGGTTACAGTAATCTTCTCCAGATCCTTCACGCGGGCTCAAAGTGTAACTAGACATTATCTTGACCAAAGTTTTGACCATACTTTTTGTCATACTTTGGTAACTAACCACGGTAATGGAGATTAGAATAGTTCAGTCCACAACGCAGAATGTTTCAAAATCTGAACACACTGTTAAAATTCTATGTCCTATTTCCAGAACATTGCTGGCAGCTTTGAACTGAATTGCCTGAGGTTTGACGTCCTTCTATTCTAGACAATAAACAGTTATAGAGATTGGAATATTTCAGTCTAGAACGCAAATATTTTACAAATCTGTAAACACTGTTAAAATTTTCCGTCAAATTTCCAGACCATTGCTGGCAACTTTGACTGGACAAATTTGAGATTAACATTCTTTATAAAACTTTTCTGCAAAAAATTCTGGCAGCTTTCAACTGATATTAATTGGAGTTTTACGTCCTATTTTCTACAGTATAAAGTCATATATTTCAGTCCATAACGTACAAAGCCAAATAGTTATTGCAGTAGTGACGTCATGATCTGGTCAATTACAGGAACCACAGGCTATAGAACAGGAAATGGTACAGAAGCTATCGTATGCCACGTACAAGAAAATATACTACTTCGGAATCTCTTTAAACAACTGGAATAATACTTATGATTCGTAGAATTCTGTATGCACACTTCCCCTTTAATCTTACCGACCCGTGCCTTTGATGTTACCGCTATGTTAATTAAGAATCAGAGGTAATCATATACATACTAATTAATACAACCTGTAAACAAGAATGTATAGTATATCTTGGACAAATAAACAACGCCTGAAGAACATGAACACACTGTAAGAATTGTCTTGTGAAATATACTGATCAATTGGCAACTCTACTTGCCAGTCTATCAATTGCAATATACATAGGTTAAGAGGCTGAAAATTTGTATAGGAACAGAAAAGGCAACTTTTCATATTCTAGAAACACGTAATAATAACCAATAACTTCCCAAAAACACATTGAATATGCTTCTGACCATTATTGTTCTGGTAAAAGATCCATCGACAGTTAATATTTAAATCGAGTAGTCCTTAATACTACTGTAGAGGTAGAAAATTTCGTTCATTGCACACTGTATGGCATTTATCGTTGCCATATATCATATTCTGAAAGATTTTGCAACAGAGTTTTAATGCGTGAACAGAGATATTACGAAATTAGAAAAAAAATCCATAGACAGTTAATATTTAAATCGAGTAGTCCTTAATACTACTGTAGGGGTAGAAAATTTCGTTCATTACACACTGTATGGCATTTATCGTCGCCATATATCATATTATGAAAGATTTTGCAACAGAGTTTTAATGCGTGAACAGAGATATTACGAAATTAGAAAAAAAATCAAGGTTTTCTAGCCTTTGAAGATGTGACAGTTAACTGATAAGTTCTATCTGTTTGAAGGAGAGGCCTAGTAACTTTGGAATGCAACCGACGTATGTGAAAATTTTTGATACCTTTGCAGATAATAATTTCATATTTTATCAATTAAATATTACCATCATCAGTTTGGATACCTGACATAGGTAAGCAGTTGGTGATGATTATATTGGAGATTACGATGGAATGGAATTTTACAACCTACTTTGTTGTGGCGTACTGACAAGGATACCCTATGCAGTCTGCAATAAGGGTTATTAATTATCGATTATGCCAATGGGGACGGATCATTCAATTCAGTGTAAAGTTTTATCTCATTTTAATCATAATTCGACGGATCTTCAATGCAAACAAACTGTGGCTTGGAATCGATGGAATCGTTAGTAACGACATCACCCGAAAGCCATGTACCCTTACCTCATCACTGAAAAGGAGCAACCATGTTGTAATGATACTCCACCTTTGCCAGGATCGATTCTAACCTTCATGACAGACAGAGATATACTACTAGACCGAAAATCTGAAGACACCATCTGGAAGACGTGTCGTTGTTAATATCTTTCAGGGATAAAGAATGGCACAGTGGTCGAAGCGGTCGAAAAGATTGCTGTTTATTATTGCTGTGTTTGGACTGACCGCTGTGGGTTTATCAGCATGGGTAGCGGTCAAATATACCAAAGATGAAGAACCTGGTGAGAACACATCAGTTAGTCGTTTAGAACTAATATTCCATAGAAGTGAAATCTTGTTGACGTGAATCTGTTAAATTCAGGACATTTTAGAACTGAAGTTGTTAGATCAAAAATATAAAAAAAACTTCTTTTAAAATAAGATCTTGAAGGCCTTGGATCTATACTCAAAATTTTCAAGAAAAAAATGATATAATATTAATAATGTTTTTAAACTGAAATCTTCGAATGCTATTTTTTTAGCACCTCCAGAATTGCCGGAAAAGAGCAGGGTGGAACTTCAAAAAGTTGATTTCCAGACCACAATCAAACCGGATGGTTCAACTACTGCCAAGCCAATACCAGAAGGTACATGGGGAATTTTACAGTTTAAAGTTTAATGACAATGTATGAAGACACGCCACAAACAAGTGACCAATTTCTGCAAGAATCAAAACATCCTTGGAATACTAGTTTCCCAACTGTCTCCACTGACTTGCACCAGAATGTGTCTTACGACGGCATATAATCAAACTAGGTATCGACTGGGTGAATCAGGCGGTGTGATCAGCTCTCGTAACACTTCAATATCCTATTTTCTTTTTTTTTCTGTAGTTTGCTTAACGGAGGCTTGTTCTCGAGCGTGTAAGTTGAATTTTAAATATTTCTTTTAACGATTGACAGCTAACTATCAGTGTACTAAGTCCATTTATTTAAAATTGGTTATCCCAACTCAATTTGGTATAAGTTCACATGTAAGAGAAATAAAGAACGAAGTCCATGATGAAGACATGTTTTGGGAATTGTTTCAGCGGCAGCTTTACTCAATGCAATGGACGCAACCGTAGATCCATGTGACGATTTCTACCAATACGCCTGTGGAAATTGGAACCAAGACCACATTATACCACCCGACAGAGTTCAGTTGGAACGACCAGACGTAATCAAAGATGATATTAAGACCAAACTGAAACGTAAGTGCTTGATTTCATGGATAACCACCAGAACCGGAAGTAAAATTTGGCACAGGGAATCACTTATAGTATGGATTAGGAAATGTTATCAGCGGCACGAAACTTAGAGGAATATTCATTGTCCCAGTAAATGAAAAAAAAAACCCAGAAACCCACTTTAACTGAATACATATACAATACATATATTATTTATAACACTACAGCTAATCAATCAAGAAAATCTCAAACTGTTTCAGTTTTGCTAGAAAATAATGATGTATTTCATAGTAAAGCTATCAGAAACACTAAAGTCTTTTACCACTCCTGTATGAATGAAAGTAAGTGCCTTGGTCATATTTTGTAATTTTTACTGAGCTCTTATTCGAGAAGAGGTGATAAGAAATGTATTTGCAGTGAACAATTTTCAGAAGAAAAATGGGTCTCTAGAACGCTTCAGGCCAAATGGTTTTTGAGATAATGACGTCGTAACCTGATCTGGAATTACAAGTAGCACAGGTGTTGGACAGGAAATCAAGATGGAGCACTTCCAAATCCATTTAACAGTTAATTCTAACAATATCTCCTTAAAATTTGTTTGAAATTTAGGTTCTATAGAAGCCAACAGTTTACAAGAACTTGAAGGGTTGATGGATCATTTGGGTGGATGGCCTTTATTGGACCCTTACTGGAACGATACGAATTACTACGTTGAACGTCGTTTTGTGCGATACGTCCAAGTAGGCAGTAACTATATCTTTAAGACAATTGTTCAGCCTGATGATAACGATACCGATCATTACATCCTGTCAGTAAGTATTTTTGTGATGTCGACCACAAAACTTTATGATAATCGCTTCTAAAAAATTCTCGACTATAAAAGCAATGATATAAACCAACTCTTTCAACTTACTCAAATACCTTCTTATATGTCGGTAAATGCTATCGAGATGCCGACCATGAAACTTTCGTATTATGCATGTATAGCATTGTCGATATAAACACGTTTTTTCAAAGCACTAACAAAAACCTGTTCTTGAGTTCTAGGAATTTTCGTATCTTATTCCATCTTTCCGACACTTCAGGTAGATCAAGCAGAATTGTTTATGGGGTCGAGGGATTATTATCTCAACGGGCGAGACGATATTCATGTGAAAGCCTATGAAGAATTTGCTGTTAAGGTGGCTAAGAAGTTTGGTGCCATCGACCCAGAAGCTGCAATTAGTGACGTCATAGATTTTGAAATACAAGTGGCCAACGTAAGCACCCATCCAACATCTTAGATGAGCAACATAAGCGAATTGATGTACCGTTTTGTGTGCTCAAAACTAATTTACCTCTTCCAACTCTGGTGACAATAATTATCGAGAGTAATTATGAGTTAAACCACAAGAGACTGTCATATTGCTCTACATTAGGTTTCGATATACCACAATTCAAGAAGCAGACCCAGTACACGGTTTGATTGGTTAATAATAACGTCATTAGAACGAGACTGTAGTACAAAACGTGTTAGATTACAATTGAGACAAAGATAAAGAAAAGAAATTGTAATCCTATTTCAATTAAAGTGGTTTGCTCTATTCCAAATCTTGCTATAGCTCCATATTTATTGGGTTAACCGCTTTATGCCGTGAGAAAAAAAGTTCAAGACCATAGATATGTTTTCTTTGTATAGTTAACAGTGCCAGATTCAGAAAGAAGAGATGCCAATAAGTTATACAACAAGGTTAAGATTAGTTCTATCATGGACGTAACAACGGGGGTAAGTGTACTGCCTTCTGATAATCTATCTTTAAAGGGACGCATTCACTTTGCTGCAAATAATATGGATAATACCTATCCAACGGTCCAACATGGATCCAGCTTTACGGAAAATACCGAGAGTTGTTGCGTCTAGTTATTCGTATGGGCCACTTGAGCTACAGCCTGTGTGCTTCATAGATCCTTTGACAGTTGGAAATCGAAAAAGAGTTCCCCTCACTGTACACATTAGCCCAATCACAAGTAGTAAAGTATATAATATTAAACTCAAGTTTATTTCATTTGGTCCTTCAAGAGGACTCGACTCATTCAACCAAGACACATAACCTCAGATCCAGAATTTCGTCATTAATAGTCTCTATGCACCCTTATTCATGAATCAATATGACTTTTCATTGTTTTGTTTTTTTCAGTGGTGTTGGATCTGTTATCTTTGCGATCTCCCTGACGATATCGCCGATGTGCTCATCACACCTGGACGCCATGTTTTAATTCGACAGCCCGAGTATAATAACAGTGTTATAGCTCTGATGAAAAACACATCAGTTGAGTAAGTTTATATATTTCCACCATTTTAAAGTGAGTGTACCAATTGACTTCTTGAGTATATTTTGAAAAGTCAATTATAATCTAAAACATTTTGGTGAAAGTATTGTGAAAAAAGAAAAAAATACATGTAAAAATTGTAAGAAAACGAAGTTTATAAAACAATCCCTCTTTAAATATTTTCAGTAAATCTTTGTATTTTTCTACCTTCCAGAATCTTGACTAATTATATGATGACGAGATTTGTCTTAGAAGCAATACCGTTTTTATCTGAAGAATATCGGCTGCTCGGCCAGGATTATTATAGGGTAGTATTATTGCTACTGTAAAGAGTTGTTTATGAAATGAGAGAAGTTCTCTGTAAAGCATTTGCTCTGTTAAGATTCGTGCTCTAATAAGCGTAGTACTCTGTAAAAATGTTATATACCATAAAGACTAGTGCTCTGCAAAGACTAATGCTCTGTAAAGAGTGGGGCTATGTGATGAGTAGTTCTCTGTAAAGAGTTGGGCTCTGTTAAGAGTGGGGTTCTGTAAAGAGTAGTGCTTTGTAAAGAATGAGGGTCTGTAAAGAATGGGGCTCTGTAAAGAGTAGTTCTCTGTAGAGTCTTTTGCTAAGTGAAGACTTGTGCTCTGTGAAGAGTCGAACTTTATTTCGTTGTAGATTATGAGTGGAAAGCAACACGAAGGAGAACGATGGAAGACCTGTCTATCATACACGAACGCTCTCTTCCCTATATCAGTTGGTAGGATGTTTGTGGATCATTATTTTGACGAAGAAGCCAAGAAAAATGTGAGTAGTTCCTAATTACTTTTAGGGGAGAGGGTAGGGCTTGAGCTAGATTTATTTCATACATAATTCGGCTTTTATTTTGCAGGCAGAGAATCTAATACAGAATATCAAAGATTCTTTCAGTGAAATCCTTCTTGATTCCTCCTGGATTGACGAAGCTACCAAGAAACGGGCTTTAGAAAAGGTAAGCTCGTGAAGCCTACCATTTCGAATGCCAAAAGTACACAGTGGTATACATACGGCCGTTATTTGTCATGGTAAAAGTCTGCCAACTGTGGATTTATCGATTTGATAGACCGCACAGACAGCCCTTATAGTAATTTTCAATTTGGTAACATTACTTACTGACAGGTAAGTTATCTAAATTGAATTCCCCCTGGGGCAAATTCAGTATAGCAATATTTCCTTTTTAGAAAGTACTTCAATAAGACCCGATGTTACTCTGCTACTGGATATTATCAACCATTACGATATCTTGTGAAACGTTGTTTGAACTCTCTTTGGGGGAAATTTAGTTTCTCAATTCTCTTATACATTTAGGTAGTAGCTATAAAGGAGAGGATCGCATACCCTGAATGGATAAAAAATGATACGCTATTGGACGAAGAACACAAAACAGTTAGTAATTTAATTATTATGTTAGTCCGGAGCCGGTTCACTTTATCTTTATCTTACATGATGAACAATACATAAGAAAAGGTCGCATTAAACTAGGGATCTTTTCACAATGTTCAATCCATAGAATTTGTTATCTCTTATTTTTTCTCGTGTAATGATGGTGATGATGACGATGAATAATGATGTTGGTGATTAGTAATGGATGTAAAAGCTCGCTTCCTACAATTGAATATTAAATTATGTCTATAATCATGCTTGTTTCTAATGATGTTTGGTGAATGTAGTTACTGGTGATTTGTTACTGATGATTTGTTGTTGATGATTTGTTGCTGATGATCTGTTGCCGATGATCTGATGCTGATTATCTGATGCTGATGATATGTTACTTATAATCTGTTGCTGATGATTTGTTACTGATTATCTGATGCTGATGATATGTTACTTATAATCTGTTGCTGATGATTTGTTACTGATGATCTGGTGCTGATGATCTGTTACTGATGATCTGGTACTGATGATTTGTTACTGATGATCTGTTGCTGATGATTTGTTACTGATGATCTGGTGCTGATGTTCTGGTGCTGATGATCTGTTACTGATGATCTATTCCCGATGATCTGTTGCTGATGATCTATTCCCGATGATCTGTTTCTGATAATCAGATGATGGTTTAATGCCATTTCTCTTTTTTAGGAGGATATAAGTGAACATCACTTTTTAAGAAATGTTATCAATAAAACAAAATACGACGTAAAAGACAACTTTAAGAAAATTGAACGTTGGAACCACGTTGATAAAAAGAAGTATAGCCTTTCGTTCTTTCTTTCTTTCTTAAATCGCATGAGATAAAAATATTCGTATTCATTCTTGTTCAGTGACTTTGCTTCACGTCATTTCTCGTATTTCCGAAGCACTGTAAAGGATGATATCTTGTCAAGCGTTTGAACCGTAATCTATAAGGAATTACTAAGCCAGTGAGAGCATTGATATGACCATCTTTGTGACAATCTAAACTCGCTGGTTCATAGATACTACTAACACAGAAAACGGACACGATCGGGTGGTTATTTGTGTATGAGAAGCAATATTATTTTGGGTCTCATTTTGTATGGCTTAATTTCTTTTTTCAGGTGGTCTGACGGGGCTGCCCAAGTAAATGCTCGTTATGATCCTCGAGAAAACGCTATTAGTAAGTTCATTCAATTCAAGAGACGCACATCGCGCTCTCTTCTTTGATTTTAAAGTGCAATATTGCAAGCCGAAGGTGAATTTTGCATTTTTGATCCATGTTTTTCAAATTAGATTTGAAAATTAAATCAAAGTTGAAATTGTGAATATTACGGTCCAGTCTGAAGTATATTATTTAAATGTTTCAGAAATACTAGCAGGGATTCTACAGCCACCATATTATGAAAAAGATTACCCTCGGTATGTTTAATTGAGTATACGTTTAAGATGATAAGATTAAAGGGAGAGAGGTGCGCCATTTTTTGTAACCAATCACACTTTAGTCTCAGAAACTTAGCCAATCAGTAAATGTGTTCACAGCTCACCGTCGAAATTTGAGCCTTGATATTCATAAGAATTACCTTAAGAGGTTAATCGGTTTATTAACATCTAAAGGAATCGTATATGAACAATTAGTTGCATTTTCAGATCGTTAATCTATGGAGGAATTGGTCTGATTATTGGGCATGAAATAACTCACGGCTTCGACGATATAGGTACTTATCAATAATTGTATTACATATTTATGCGTCCCATTATATAGAAATATAGCTCAATACATCAATTTTTACCATTTTATATCATTTTATTAAACTTTATACTTTATGTTTGACAAACCAATACTACTTTTCGTGAAATTTTATACAATTCCCTTTGCAAATTTGGATTTACTTGTATGCTTATGTAGCACACATTGATTCATCTGAAATTTCAGGACGACAATATGATAAAGACGGAAATTTGAGATCTTGGTGGACGAACAGCTCTTCAGATAATTTTAATGATCTAGCTCAATGTATTATAGATCAGTATTCTAATTTTACTATTGGTAATGATCATGTAAGTATTTTTCTTGAAATATTCCTCAGTCACCAGCTTTGATAATAAAAATAAAATACTATCAGAGGAGCGCAATGAAGATAACTTTACTACAAATTTTCATTTTAGATAAGGGGAGAGAATACACAAGGTGAAAATATCGCCGATAACGGAGGACTTAATGTAGCATTTGGGGTAAGTGTGTTCGAAATTTTAAGTAAATTTCAAAAATCCAAAATAGTCCGGAATTATTGGCATTTCATGATTATACTCATGATTGCAGACTGACAAAATTTCCCTCATTGCACACATCTTAAAATATTTGAAATCGTGGTACAGAAATATCGACTTAAAATTCTTGTTATTTCCTTATTTGATGTGCATTATAGGCGTACAAGGAGCTTATAAAAACAAACCCAGAAGATTTTAAACATTTACCAGGATTAAATCTAACCCACTATCAACTTTTCTTTCTTAACGTCGCTCAGGTAAGTTTACTTGAAGGCAAGTAAGACTTTAAACTGCAGTACCTGTATCAATTCTACATCCTTAATTGCCATTCAAATGGTGATTTCGAACGTATCAATGTGCTAGTGACCGGAGTTAACCAACGCTCTCTCGAAGTTGTTTTAAGTCCAACACTTCCATACAAGAAGTTCGATCTGTCAACTCGTCGCCACAAATTTGGTTAATTTAACTGGCGACCAGTGAGCTCTGCTTTTTATTTGTATGTACCTTGAAACGTAATCCATTTAAAGGTCAGGGTTATTATAAATAATATCCCCGGGATGTTAAATGAAGTAGATATTAAGTTATAAGTAAACTCAGCCAAACGCGACGTGATACTAGAGGGTTATATTATTTAATTGTTGTCTTGCTTTTAAAGGGTTTCTGTGGAGTTCAAAGACCAGAAGCACTTCAAGACCAAATACTTTCCGATACTCACAGTCCGGGTAAATTCAGGTATGTACCTTTGCCCTTAATTAGATAGGGCCCCCGGTAAGGAGTAATAGGTTAACCCCTAGAATCTTATAACATACAATTGTAACGAGGAAATCTTTTTTCTTTTTTAGGGTAATGGGAACACTGTCTAATAGTAAAGATTTCAGTTCAGCTTACCAATGTACACCTGGTAGCAGAATGAATCCAGAACAGAAATGTCGTGTTTGGTAGTATTCATAGAGCTATGTTACGGACCCCTAAGTAGTTAACTTGGTGGTCATTAGACGAAGTCTTTAAATCCAAATTTTCAATGAAGTTATATATTCAACTTCGGACTTAACCACAAAGATGTACAGGGATAAAACTTGTTGTTCTTAAAAGCTTCGTTGGTGATTTTAAGTACAGATCTAAAAGATTGTAAAATAGAAAGTCGCCACATACATATATACATTAGAGTACTTTGCTTGGTTATAGATGGGAAAGGCTTAAATATTAAAATTATACTTTTATTTTGTCTTATTTACAACATAATACTAAATATAAGAAAATATGTCTAAAATAGCGCAGTATATACTTCAAAAAGATTAATTAATGATTTATGGACAAAGAAACATCCATAATGTACAATGATAGAAACTAGAATTCTTGACGATCCAGTCTACCAGCTGGTCCTCACCAAAAACTTGAGGAACTTGCCTACCAGTAAGTCCTTAGGTCTCCGAAGTTCCTGTCTACCAGTACCAACTACTCCGTACCATCAAATTAGATTCTAGACTATCTTGTCTACCGGCTGCTCCTCTTAAGATCTTTTCTACCAGCTAGTTCTCTGAAGATCTTGTTTACCAGCTGCTTCTCTGAAGATCTTGTTTACCAGCTGCTTCTCTGACGATCTCGTTTACCAGATGGTTCACTGAAGATCCTGTTTACCCGTTAGTTCTCTGGACACCCTGTCTACCAGCTGCTTCTCTGAAGATGCTGTTTACCGGCTCGTTCTCTGAGTACCCTGTCTACCATCTGGTTCTCTGAAGACTCCGTCTACATGCTCGTTTTGCAAAGATCCTGTCTACCAACTGGTTCCTACCCAAGAAGATATTTCATGGGTTTCACTGGATTATCGGACAATCAAGTCAAAAGAATTATTTCAATCAAGAAGACTCTACTGGGTGATGAAGTCAAAAGATCCAATCACTCTAAACGACTGAGCTACATCTCACTCAAGGTCAATGCTATAGCAGTAGAAGATTTTAAATAACATATCTATCATGCAAAGGGACATTTAAAATATAAAATTCCACGACACAAAAATATTATAATATACACAACTTGCTTATGTACAAGAAAAATATGAAACCACCCCGGATACCCTGGAAGAAGTATTTAGATTTTTCACAAAAATTACGGAAGGTCCTTAGATCATCGCCTGTTTAATTTTTCCAAAAATAGACTCAGCATATTGAATAACTAGATCGGATTACTAGGATTACGAGGTGCCATGGAACCCACCATTTTCACAGACACTGAAATGAGTTGAAAAACGCTATTTATCTTCAAATTTTTGTATAGATTCAGAGGGTACAGGAAATAATTTTCCCTGCTTCTCAGCTGTTGCACTTAAAGCAGATATAGTTGTAGAGGTGGTTGTTTGTTGCTATCCCTGATTTTCAAAGATAAATAAAAGGCACATTTTGATTGGTTAAGACTCGGAATGTTCACCTCCATATTGAATTTTCAACCAATCACCAAACTTTACATTTCTTGACAGGATTCATTGGCGAACCTTTGGGACAGTCGAAGACCTCTGCAAAATCGTCATTATTTGATAAACTACCAATTACTCTGGAAGAGAAATGAAATGAAATGGAGTTTTACGTCGGATTTTTCTACTCCTGAATGCACGAGTGAACACATATAATACCATGACGTATGCAATAAGGGACACTGTCGCAACGACCACCCGTTAAGTATACCAACACGAGGACCTAAATCTCTTACAACCAGACGTGTCCTGTCTCCGACGCTTTCGTTGTAGCTGTGCACAAACAACGTAGTACTTGAAGATAGAGGTAATCGGGACGTCAGTGTGTAGTCCGATTCGATCGACAAGACGGTGTTTCTATGATTGACATACTACATCTATTCTTACCTGAATGCCCCAGGGCTGTGAGAATCTGTTAATAATGTATTTCTATCTGCTTCCGGTGACGACACTGAACACCAAATCTGTTCAATAAAAAAGGAAAAATTATAGAACACTATAAACGAACGTTTCAGTGATTGAGCTTAATGTTCGAGACTATCAATATGATAACTGAATTACTTCCCCTGCAGTTGCTAAGTAATTTTACCGCCGTTAAATCTGTGGATGGACCAAGATCAGAAGACGTTCCTATTTCTGTGCACATCCGGGGGTGATTCTAAACATAAATAAGAGCAGTTCATTTTGTTTTAGATAATTTAGAATAAATGTTAAAAGCCTCCAAACCAGACTTAGGTACAAGTAGAAATTTGTTGTTTACCTGAGCAAAATTGACAAAGAAAAGTTGATTAGCCGTTAAATTTAAACCAGGCAGTCGACCATACCTCATCTCTTCATGTTCTTTCCAACTTTTATAGGCCTACAATACCAAATGAGAAGAATATATTAGAACTCTAGATGTAGAGGGCTTTATTCAAATGTAGTGTCCTGGGTCGGCCCTGATACTGTATCAATTTTCACTTGACTAACTAAAAGGGAGATAACTTACTTTATAAGCAGCGACAACTCCGCCATTATCAGCTATATTTTCTCCTACTGTTTGATTTCCACGTACCTAAAAGGTGTAGAAAAGTTACAGAATCATCTGGCAATACAGAGCCTGTTCAAGATGAAAATAGTCGAGTTACCCGCTATCAACAGTACATGCATCCTGACCCAGAGCCCACTATAACAACAACTCCACCAGTCCACCGACTCATCTATTTTCGAAATCTTAGCAGCAAGTTGGTAATTTTGGTGAACAACGCAGCTCACTTCCTTCCCCCTTCTCCAGTGCTAGTATTAGGCTAGAGTTTTACGTCCTACAACTAGAAACTGCAACTTACATGTTCTCCATTGATGGAATAATTAGAATATTGGTTATCAATACATTTAGCTAACTCTGTAAACTTCCTCAATGATCCTCGACTCCACCAGTATCTCAAGTTACCTTGACTATCGAACTGTCGACCTGAAAAGTTAACCCGCCACATTCATTACTACAACAACAAAGCCCTTTTCTGTGAAATCCAGCATCTCTAGTCTTCTTTTGGCAGATCCCGATTTAAATACCGATTCGGATGCTTCGTTTCTTGTTCAGATAGCAGATCACAAATGTAGCTGATCCGGATGCCAGAGAAACGAGAGCTAGAAAGAAGACATTAGGCGCGTTCAGGGCAAAGCAGAAGGATTACAACTTATTTAGGCAAGTAAGAACAAATGTATATGTAGGAGGGTAGGTGGTATTAGCAATTAGAGGGTAATGTATTCCAATGTAAAGTGTAACATACCTTCATCATCGAAACCGTGTGTTATTTCATGACCAATGACCATTCCAATACCGCCAAATACCAGAGACCTGGAATAACAACACGATGTGGAACCAAATTTCATATATGTGCACAATTCTGTGTTTTAAGTGAGAAACATACTCCCTTTGATTATTCACCTTCCGCTCCCTAAAACTACTTCCGGTGTTTTCGGGAAAATCAATCACAGATAAATGGCATATGAAAAAATGACATCTCATAACAAAACAGAGACAGTAGCTGACTTGATGAATGTAGAACAAGTCCGTTGTCACACGTGAGTGTTCAAAGGTGTAAGTGATATATCTGGAGCGACAATGGTGTATGGTGTACAGGTCGTAGACAGGCTTGATTGTTCGGAGGGGCATGTAATATATTTGAAGGGGCAATGGTGTATGGTTCCTTGCGCCATGTAGCTACGGTCCTGCTGCAGAAAGTTTCAGTTTGAGAAATAAAGACTAATGATCTGTGAATGGGGTCGTTAAAGTGTTAATGTAATTTATCTACTTACATTGGATAATGTTTACTGTAAAATGGCGGTTGTAAGATTCCTGCAGGGAAAGCTGTAACGATAAAAGCAGAAATAGGATGACACCTGGGCCTCAAAAAGAGCAGAGCGTAAAATAGTGTAGTGCTGCTGGATGATCGTGATGACATTTCTTCATTGAACAAAGTTCATATCTCAAGGGAAGTAACTTGTATAAACTTGAGTCGTTAACAGTTATTTTATCGCAGTTAAGAACGACAGTAGTTCCATCATCTAACAATAATTAAGGACATGAAGACCTCATTGTGCGAACAAGACCTTATACTTACTAATGGAGTTTTCTGAAGGTTCATAATAAGCATTGACTACAGCAGGTGTTGTTGCCCATCTGGAAAGAAAACCAAAATTTTGTAGTCTTGTGGCCATGAATAAGTCACCGTTTTTTACTATCTTACCAAGTGTTTGTCTGATAATGCAGCATTGTATATAGTTTGAATTCAGTTACATGTCCACCTTACCTGGTTTTATTTACTGATTCTCGGAGCAGAAGTAAGGATTTCTTGGACACAAATCTCAATGAGGCCAGAATATTCTCAAAATAATAATCTGCGTTAAAGTTAACCTACAATTAAATATAAAAGTATACAGTGTCCTTGTATCTTATGTTTCAGATATATCACCCATCGTATGGCATACAATATGCTGATATCTCTGAAGTCTTTTCTTGAAATGAGGTAATATTGAACCAAGCTGAAACATCCCTTCCTTTGCTTCGTCTTTATGGATGACATCATTTCGATTTAAAAGTACAGACTTCAGATGCTTTGGAATTACTGCACAGGTTTAATGATTCCTTGACTCCATTTTAGAATGCACAATGACAGTCCTATTGTAATTCAAACCAACCACCAGCTAGTTAATCTTAAAGGGCCTGTTCATGTTGGAGAATCAAACCACCCCTTCCTTGATATAAAATTTCTAATTACCTTTTGGTATTCATTGTTGAGTTTAAAGTTGTTGAGAATCCAATCAGGGTAGGCGATCTTCTTTAATATATTCTGAGCCTGGAAAATATCACAATACAGTCATTATAAGGTCCAAGTGATGTGGTTATGGTATTATTCCCTGTAGTTATACTAACACCTACATTGGAAATGTTAATTACTATCTGAACTAGAATAGATGGCGGATACTTCTGGTGGTTCAGATTAATTGGCATCGGAAAATATTGTGGGAAACACCAGAGATTGAGCTCCAGTAGCGTCCTGTCTGTTCATAACATGTATTTGATTGTAAACCAACCGGTTGTTTGAATACATCCTGATAATTGACTCAGCAAATGAACTATACATGAACCTTAACCTTGGCTGCTTACTACCAATCCAACACAAAGATGGTGTTCTTGAGAGAACTCTTTACCTTCTTGAGAGCATAGTCTTTTGTGTCGTTATCCATCCATTTGGCGTCTTGCAACATTTCCATAAAGGCCTTTTCGACATATCTGATCATCACGACTGCCTGAATAATAGAATGAAATGATTTATGTCTTTTACTTTGCAGTATGCAGTGAGGAAAGTTTACCAAACTTGCATCATGAACAGTGGCTGAGCAGCTATCTAGGACCTCCACCTTCTCACTTTGTTCCTTGCCCTCGCCCTACAAATGTTCTTATGGACTAATGCTAGATAGATTTGGAGAAACCAATATTAATTTTGCTATCGGAGTCGTAGGGCCCCTGACCCCATTGGACTCTTGAACCGCGTCGGGTGATCCGCTACCTTAATCTGCACATGATTCTTTTACAAAATATCCTATAGCAAAAGATAACTTCAGTTCAGAATAATGTAGAAAGTCGACAAACCTTTTCCTTTGAGGACTCGTCGAAGTAGCGATCGACAAACATTCTTCCAACAGCGTGACCCAAGGTATCTTTGACATATTCTGCACACATCTTCCATCTTGGCTCCTCTCTCTTAATACCGTATACAACCTATTAAAATAAATACATGAATTGGATTTCGGGCAAGAAAGGATTTGATTCTGAATATACTGACTTGAGAAAGTGTTGAAGCTTTGAGCAACAATGAACGATCTTTGGAGGAAGGGTTGGTGAGAGTTTCAGTTGGATTGGGCCACCTTTTTGACATTCCTCGACATTACTTACTGCCAATTGAATACTATATAGCTTGTGAAACTGTCTAGGATTTTGAGACAGCTATGCTGAAAACTCTGCTGAATTTGTCCATGTTAATCTAGCATTTATAATCATAATCTATTGTCAAGGGCTGAGACTTACTCGTTTGTAATTTCTAGCTACAGCTCTGTATCCTTCAGGTAAATCATTGAGTCTGTCTTTTAACAACCTCCAGATTAGATAGTTAGCCACAGTCCTGCAACAAAATCGAAACGTTTATTGGGGATTTCATTCATCCATTAATCTACGGGGGCGGTCATCTCACGGCGCTTGTTGAAAAGTATTACAGAAAGCTGCACTGTGCCATATTATACATAAACGTTTACTAGCCTACTATATATATTATGGAGGTAAATGAAGCGACGACCAAACAGTTAAATCCATAATGAACTTTACCTGCTATGTGTATTACGGACTATTTTAACCATTTCTTTAAGGTAAGTAGGTGAATAAACCACTATTTCTGTCCATTCTGGAATGGGTATGTCTACTGCCCGAAATACACCGTTTATAAACCGATTCCAGTCAAACTACAAAATAATGAATTATTGTTATTTACTTGATTTGATGATCGAGAAGAAAAGTATCAAATACAGGGAATATAAATGGCTCAGCAAGGGAGTATTGATACCAGTAGTCCGTAGCGAGCCCTAAATAGGGAGGGGGTGCTTGTCTTATATCCGTATAGCCAATAAGAAGTACATACCAAAGGAATTTGTCGCCTTAACTCAGTGACGCTCATTCTGTTATACATCTTGTTCCTGTCTCGTCGACTTGCCATGTCTGTTGTTATCTGGAAAAATCAAAGAATTGTCTAAAAAAAAAAAAACAACCAGAAAGCAAGATTAACATATCAGACTGATTGATTTTCTTTATATTTGCAACAAGTTTACAAAAAGTAATGGTAGGACCTTTAATTTGTGCATCCTTATTGGTTAAAATTCAACTGAACACGATTTAAACAAGAATTTTTTCAGATCGCCGATGTTGGTTGTGATGCCTCCCACATTATCCGAAATACATCTTGATCTCCACTTTGTCAGATCGACTTCAGCACCGCAGAATTCCTACTTACATTGGCCAATTTGATTTCTAGGTCGATCATCTCTCTTGTTTGGCTAGCAGCCTGTCGTGATTCGGCACCAAACATTCTAGCCAGATCTCGAGCCAGTTGTTCATAAACTGATAAATATTTATCCTCTCTATCACGAAGATAGTAATCTTTAGACGGTAAACCAAGGCTTCCTTCATCTAGCTGTAATTAAAATGTAAATGGATCGATTTGTAATAAGGAAAAATAAATATTTGTATTATTTTTTTTATGTCAATTTACTTTAGATTATCTGTACCGCTTTTCAAAATGACAATTTGATATATCTATTATATGCCTTTCAAGTATATGATTCAGAATGACAATTCCCTTCATACTTTTTAAAATGACGTTGTATTGCTTCCCGTATCACTTCATTAAAATGGAATTTTACAATTGCTTTCTGTAGCAGTTTATGACACCATAGTATGATAATCCTAAAGGTATTGCTTTGCAACACTTTTCAAGATGATCGTATCAATTTCAAAAGCGAACTCACTGGGAAGGAAGGCGAAGGGAATAGCAAGAATATTCTAAAGTTTCATCTACCTACCACTATGACATATCGAGAAGAGTTCTTATCATCGGGTCTGACATCAACACTGAGAAGGTAACCAGAGTTCAGTTCATGCAGCAGTATTAACATTCCTTCCAGGTCAAATCCACGTCCATCCCACTGAGGCGTTATCACTGGCCAACTTCCAAGATCGTGAAATAATGGTCCCAAAGGATCGAGACCTCTCTGGTCGATCAACACTGAAAGGACAAAGCTATGAGTTTAAGGTCTTCTCGAGTTGAACTCTGGAGGCAGATTGTGGCGTTATCAGAACCACCAAAAGCTGTCCTAATTGTAAAATAATGTTCCACGGGATCTTAACATCGGCACTGTACAGATCTAAAGCTAGAAGAAGACACTGAGCTCAAACGCTTTCCAAATTGTTCCCTTACCTAGCTGAAGCCGCTATCTTCAAGTCTAGATTAGCTATAATACTTTGGACAACAGTGACCTTGCGATTGATTGCTTTGATTCTAATTGCTGTTAGCAGTCCTCCATATACCAATGATCTTACCTTCGTTCACACATGATTTGTATAACCACTTTGCTTTCTTCGTGGCGTTACTTTCCGTTCTGGATACTGGAGCTTCTAGGAGAGCTGAAATGGAATATGATAAATCCATTGTAGTAACTTTAGAGTCTTGATGAATGGCCATGCAAACCATTTCTTTCTTCTTTTAACTTCCAAAGATCAGTCCATTCATACATGAAACATTTACATGCATACAGTCACCCTATCTGCTTTGACAAATGATCGAGCTGATTGCCATGGCACTTTTCAGAATACAGATCCGACCGTTTCCAGTCCATCTGTAATATTTTAATAAAAATGAAAAGAAGATGACCCCCTTCACTTTTGGGTTAAGCTTTACTCAATACTTGGTGTCCAACGGCTTCCTCTTACCTTTTAACATCAAATCCACCTGATCTCGAGTTTCGTCAAACCGCTGGTACCGGGACTTGTCTTCAGGTATAATATGGTTTCTCATCCAGTTTCCACAGGCGTATTGGTAGAAATTATCACATGGGTTCACTGCTGAATCCAGAGAGTTCAATAATGCTGCAGCTGAAATGGAAAGAAGATGATTTAATTTGGGTCTTCCAGAAGGCAGGTCGGAAATGGCGTCTTTGCTTTATGATTGTAGCGTTGGGAATCATCATCTGGCAGACTCACGAAATCAATGGTTGTGGAATGTCAGAATTTAGATGAATAAGTTGGAAGAAAGGACGTTGGCAGTTTATTTCAATAATATGGACTAATAAGACAAGAAAAATGATATATTTACAGTCTTTGACACATTCTCTTGACATACATGTTCTCTCTTCAGATCCACCTGCAAGATAAACCAAATTCAATTTTATGTCCTAATTTGACAACCGTAGAACTGTATGGATTGTTTTTACTGGTCTGAAAGGGGCAACACAATTGACAGCGCCATCTTCTCTATGTAAAACTATAACCAATTTCGTCTTATACCTTGACTGAAAAAGCAACTTGCCATGTATCACGGAATACATAGATATGCGCCAGCGCATACAGCCAATCTCATTATTTAAACATTGTGACTTATTGTTCGCAGACTTTCTGTCGAGGAATCTGATTGGATGTATTCGCTAACGCACAATCCAACCAAATAGCTTCATTTACAATCTTCTACAATCATTTGAAAAATTGAGGAAATTCTGAACTATTGACAGTATTGCTACAGGTGTGGTGACCTATATATTAAAAACACATGCTTTACAGATGCGTGGCATTATCATGTCTGACCGGATGGCGAGTGAAATATTATGTTTTTACTCTACTGACCACTGTGGGTTCTGTGGAAATGGCTTACACCCCAAATGTACCCCCGCGCTATTTTTAATGAATTCGAAAATATTATTTTTATAAGTTTATGCCCAAAACTATGTGTCAGCATGCACCAAATCGATTCAGTTTTCCTAGGGAGAACCGTCCAAGAGTCCAAGAGAGTCTTACGGTTATAACGCCTCCATAGAATTGCCGCATTTTGAAATCAGCCACAAAACTCTACCCCCCATCGAATCAGTTTGCCCCTACATTTGGAGGCTGGTGCCATCACCTGCTGTGAGTCACATTAGCCCATCCGCTTTATGAATCATAGAAATATCATTGTGAAGCTAATATTCGACTTCACATGAAAGAAGCAAATAAAATTTTTAAACAGTAATTTCGAGAACATGGTTCTTTAAGTTATTTGATAACATGTACTATGATCTAGATGGCCGTGTGACCTATAGAACTGGGGTTAACCTTTGTCGACTTTTTAAAATCTGTAGATTTCAAGGTTAATAAATGGATATTATATGCTGATGATTAAGGTTGTAATTTGATACCATGTGACATTACACTTGGTTTGATGTTCCGGAATGCGGTGGGAAAAACTATACTTGTTTTAAAACATTCTATTCAAATTACCACATCACTTACTGAAAATTCCGAATTACACACATACAAAAATTAAACTTGTTTGCAGTTTTTTTGCTCCCGCCTCCAGCAACCTCCATCACCCCCCCCCCCCCTCCTGTGCCCCTTTGTAGCTACGGGCCTCAGTTACATTGTCGCCGGTAAGCAGCTAGGTCCTCAAGATCAAGTTCTGCAAGTGTTCACCCCATTCACAAGATACACTGTTACGTACCTCCAAAATAGCTATCCTGAGTAAGTTCCAGAGCTAAGACTATAATCAGAGCCAGTGATAAGAGAGCAAATACAATCGTTAAAAATACAAAGATCTTCTCCCTGTCTGTACAGCCTTTACCAGGAGCACTGGAATAAAACAGATATTTGGAAAATGAAAATTTACATCTTGACGACAGGACGACGACGACGATAAGGATGAGGATGATGAGGAAGAGGATGAGGATGAGGATGAGGATGATGAGGATGATGAGGATGATGAGGAGGATGAGGATGAGGATGAGGATGAGGATGATGAGGATGAGGATGATGACGACGATGAGGATGATGAGGATGATGATGATGAGGATGACGAGGATGAAGAGGATGAAGATGAGGATTAGGATGAGGATTAGGATGATGATGACGAGCACGAGGATGAGGACGAGGATGAGGATGAGGATGAGGATGATGACGAGGACAAGGATGTTGATGATGACGAGGACGAGGATGTGGATGATGACGAGGATGATGATGAGGATGATGAGGACGAGGATAATGAGGACGAGGATGATGACGAGGATGATGACGAGGCCGAGGATGGGGATGATGACGAGGACGAGGATGATGACGAAGACGAGGATGATGACGAAGACGAGGATGATGACGAGGACGAGGATGATGACGAGGACGAGAATGAGGACGAGGACTAGGACGAGGATGTGGATGATGAGGATGATGACAAGGACGAGGACGAGGACTAGGACTAGGACGAGAACGAGGACGAGGGCGAGGATGGGGACGAGGACGAGGACGAGGATGTGGATGATGAAGATGATAAGGATGATGACGAGGACGAGGACGAGGACGAGGATGAGGATGATGACGAGGACGAGGATGGGGATGAGAATGGATGAGGATGATTATCATGATGATTGACAAATTGACAGGTAGACAAAACTGATACAACAACAATGGCCTGTAAAAATAGGGCTGACAAAACTTGTGTTAAATCTTTTATTTGAGCAAAGCGTTTGATCGGTTGAATATGTTAAAGGGGCAGAACTTTATGTTGCATAGCAATTTCATCAGATCATCAGCAGAAAAAAAAACACATTGGAACAGACCATTTGATTGGCCGGCATTTGAATATCCTAGTACACGTATTGCAAAACAATTTCATCAGATCCCTAATGGACAAAGGGATACCACCACAAAAAAACAAAACGTCTAGATCATTTTAATAAGGTTGTGCCCACGCCGCCTTTTCTACCTTAACGTAAAAGTAATGAGTGGATTTGATCTTTGAATCTTTGAATTGCGCCTTTGCGTACTCGAGTACTATGATTTCTGCATCCTTCCATAATGAGTTATTGACTGAATTATACAATCTTAGACAAACAGTACAGAAATGAAGCTAATAATAGTAATTGTACATGTATGGAATCAACAGGGGGCATAACTCTTTTCAGAAAAATTCAAATCTCTTAATCCCAAATTTCAAATCCTCTGCCACGAATAGTAAATACTTTGAAAATCTTGCTTATTAGCATATAGAATGTTTCCTTAAATATCATATCCACATATAACTTGGGTTATTGGTTGAAGGGATATTATCTTTTAATTATTCTGATATATTTATCTGGCAGTTCTCAGTTTTCTTCAACACGTTCTAAATTATTACATATTTTTGCCATGTTTCACCTTAGCAGTACACCTCGTAATTGAGACCGAAATAGATGTCACGTGGTTTTCAAATAAGCCAATCTACACGCTTGCACGTAACCATTTTTACATTTTGTTTTGTTTATATAAACACACGCAATAAACTTATCAGGATAGGATAACGTTCAAGCTCTCTGGAATTGAAAGAGTTAACCACTATTCCATCTATATATTTGATAAGGGGGCGAACAATGTCTGGTTCCTGTACAATCAAATGAAAATTAATTGCAGTTCGCTAACGGATCTAACGTGAATTTACCAGACCATCATTATCATGCATCTATGAAACCAAAAATATTGCAGAAGAACTTGATGTCAGATTAAAATCTGAAATGTGATACAGGAATCTATAATTGGTCTAAAATGATTCGACGACTGTATCCCTTTAAGGTACGTTATCCCCTAACATGATTCACACTGAGTTTTTAAATAGTACAAACACTTTTAAATATTTGAAATTGCGCAGTGAAAAAAAAAACATTGATACGTGAACACATGAGAATATTAAACAAGAAAGTCTGAGTGAAATAATTGAAATATAGTTAAATCCCGGATAGGACAGCTCTAATCCAAAAATAATTTTGTTGACAATCTTTTAATGGGAGGGGCAAGTTTTATTTTTGATACTAAATCCCCTTACTTATACTGAGGGTAACATTATGATTTCCAGTAAGAGAAGGTAAAAAAAATTATTCGGCATGTTACAAACAAAATATGGAATAAGGGAAAAAACAGTTTAAGATGATGTTAAAAATTTCATGAAATTGTAAACACGCGTTTTCTCTTTGAAAATAATGATTAATGTATTGATGGCATAATCACCTAGACAATGCCTTCAGATGGGGTATATGATAAAAAAAGGTACTTAGCAAAACTTAAAGCATGCTTACCTGCCACCGGGCTGCACCACATACGTCTCTCTTACCATGCTGCTAATCCGTTAATCCTCTATGATATAATCCGTGTCGATATCTCACACTTTCTCACTAACCGGGCAGTATCACACTACAATAGAACATTTAACCTTTTATTATAGTAATTACCTTCACATGTTACTATCACGAGCACTGCTATACATAGACATTGGATAGATGCCCCCTTTAACATTATATAGGTCAAGTTCGCAAGCGTTTGGTCGGATGGCTTTACGTATCTAGACTCTAGGTCGGATAGTAGTATACAATTACCTTCATATGTTACTATCACGAGCACTGCACATAGACATTGGATAGATGCCCCATTAAACATTATGTAGGTCAAGTACGCAACCGTCGGATGGTAGAACATATTGGATAGATGTCCGTGGGAAAAATACACAGGTCAAATTTGCAACCGTTTAGTCTGTACGAAAGCATCAACGACGTTGAAACATTGGATAGATGCCCCTTTCAACAAAATATAGGTCAAAATCGCAACCGATTGGTCTGTACGCATGCATCAACGACGTAGAGTATATTATTGTCGCAACCGTTTGGTCGGATAAAAGTATGCATAGATATTCGGCGGTGAAAAATGGCTGTCCACATGCATTCACGGCGTTGCGCGTAGATTGCTTTACATAAACATACTGTTCAAGTGTTATCTTGCAACCTTCTGATCACAAGGATAAGTGTTATGTCTGTTGTGTACAGTCAAACGCCATTGGAAGTAAGTAGTGTTCAGTTGTAAAAGCCATGTGATGCAAGTTGTGCTCAGTTGTAAAAGCCACTGTGTTCAGTGCTAAAAGCCATTGATGCAAGGTGTGCTTAGTTGTTAAAGACATGTGATGCAAATTGTGCTCAGTTGTAGAGCTATTTTAAAAGGCATGTGGTGGAAGTTGTTCTCAGTTGTAAAAGCCATGTGATGCAAGTTGTGCTCAGTTGTAAAAGCCATGTGATGCAAGTTGTGCTCAGTTGTAAAATCCATTGTCGAAAACGTACATCATCTTTATGAGCTTGTTCGACTGTTACCCAATAACCTATTCATACAGACGTGTAAAACACGTGTAATAATAATAGTGTACATACTCCTGGAGATATCAAAGCAATCTTGGTATTCTCTGCTCCCTTGAGACTCGGTGATATTTCTTGATCTTCGATTGTCCAGTAATGACAAGATAAGTGTAGATTTCGGTGAGAGAAATGGATGTGTTGAAAAGTCAACATTTTTCATATGGCCCATGAAAATGTGATCCTTTTGACACATGACAATTTTAAGGTCTCGATTTCAAGCCCTCTATTAAGAGACTTTCAAAATAACCTTTAACGAGATGACCATCAGGTAAGTTTGCAGCAGTCTCTGCCTGTTGGAATTTCCTGCGACCAAGTTTTATCTTGGAATTTATTGGATTCGGCCTGGGGGTTCTACATGTACCATGTCTTTGACGAATTCTTCGAGGTTTCAATTGGAATTTTGGTAGTACTCGAGACAATGGGGTGATGATGGAATCTAACTAAAGGGTGTTAGTTTGGCATATCTAATACGGCTATAGTTTAACATGGCATATTGAGACCATCTGGACTGAATACGGTTTATTTATTTTCCATGGCAATAATACAGTTTTTATATAGAAATTCTGTGTTAACTCTGTTTTATTTAGAAAATTATCCCTTTGTAGTTCTAGTGTACCCTGTTTTAAAACATAATGAAATAGGTCAAAACATTAAGTTATTCTAGTACGGCGTTTCATGGCAATGGTTTTAATTTGAATACTGTGTATAAAACCGGTTGACCTGAACCTTTCACTCAGTTTTTTATTCTAAAGTCAAATCGAATTTTGCTGACCCGTATCATTTAAAATGTTATTTGGGGTTTGCTGTGTCAAATAATGAAGGTCAAAAAGATATGTTATCCAAGTGCCGTTTCATGGCATTGGTTTTAATTTGAATATTTTGTATAAAACCAGTTGATCTAAACGTTTTACTCGGTTTCTATTCAAATTTACTGACCCGTATCGTTTATCAGAACTAAAATCCGACTTTCGTTGTGACAGAAGATGTCATCATTGGTTTTAACGGCGTGGTAAAGGACTTTGTAACAACCCTTTTAATTGCCTTCATGGACTGTGGGTTCAAGCCCGTAACCTGCAAAATTCGAACAAATTCTCAATTGAAGTTGAAATCAGTCTCTATCGGCTATTGCCCCCCATGCATATGCGGCCGCCCCTCTTGGCACATGGGGTTGGTTACGGACCTGAAGCTGTAGTTTTTTTAATCCTATGTCCGTGAGATTTATCTGTTGTAATATTGGAAAACTTGGTCATGGTTCTGACATTTAAGAGCTTAAATACGTTGTTTCCGCAATTCACGCCTAGAAATAGTTGACTGATGACAGAACAGAGAGAGATTTCCTCAGTAATATTTTATCACACGTGTTCGGGAAAGTCAAAATAACCTGGTCAAATCCCAGCTCACGTTCCCTGTTGGTGGGTGAACAATCCAACCCTTGGCGAATTCTGCTTCTCAATGATAGTAAGAGCCGACTTCGAAGGATCAAAAAGCAATGAACAATACAAAAATCGAAAAGTTTGTTTCAGGGATAGGCGGAGATCTTTTGGACCCCTCTTCCAACTCTTTAAAGGAGTGAAGTGTTCTAAAGCATAATATTAATAATTTATAATAAATAAATAATAATAATTCTATAGACCAAACAGCATTCTTTTCCCGAATTACCCAATTAAATGAAACGCGGGAAATATTCGAAGTACAGACGGACTAAAAATAGCGCGTAATATTTCAACCAAATGTGAAAGAGTAACAATGACGTAGTGCGTCATCTTGAAGTCATTATTATATCTATCATAGAGTTTATTATAAGTTTATCATACACGAATAAACCTCGGTGATATATTCTGTAGTTAAATTGGGGCGGGGCATTATGAACTACTTTGTTTTCATTTCCGGCCGACCAGCAACAGTTTCACGGCGGGAAGATGTACAAGTCACGTTTTGGCGCGAGATCTGAGAACACTTACAATTTGATCGTCTGCGGTTTCATGGCAGATGATTTTGAAAACGAAACCAACAGGACTATGAAGTAGCCCACGAGTGATTCAATCATTAAAGATAAGGAAATTAAATCACAATCACCAATTTGACCAAGCGTACCCTACAATAGGTGCGACGGAGGCATAGGTGTAACCATACCGTAGGTGTAACCATACCAGAGGCATTACCGTACCATAGGCGTAACCGTGCCATAAGCGTAAGTGCCCAATTGGCGTAACCGTACCATAGGTAAATTCGTACCATTAGTGTAACAATACCATAGGTGTAACCATACCAGAGGAGTAAACGTACCATAGGTGTGTAACCGTACCATAGGTGTGTAACCGTACCATAGGTTAATTTGTACCATAGGTGTAAGACTCAGTAATTATTTTTTTGGGGGGGGGGGGGGGGGGGACTTCAGATCCAATATTCGATAGACAGTAGAAAATGTGCAACTGGCGATAGTTTGACGTAAGAGCTCTCATGATCTCAGTATTTCAAGAGATTGGTCATCTTTCCCCATGAGCAGTCAGTCAAAAAATACAGAAATGCTCACGAATTCCGCCTGTCGCTATGCCAATCACAGCATGCACTCCACATTTTTTTCTACGACGATGCCAGATGTAATTTCAGATGAAAGCTATACTGAAGACAATGATCCTCTTAAAATATGTCGAGATGACCGCTGGCAAGTTACAGAAATATTCCAAGTTAAAGTTGAAAACCGAGAAGGAATTTCTAAAACCACGTTTCTTCCAGTTGTCAAAACATACCCTCGGAATCAAACCATGAATGACTAAATTTAAACAATATTTATGAAACCAAATCTTCAGACCAGATTGTGACAGGACTCCTTATAAAAACTTTGAGTCCTAGATCAAGACGGTTTTTGACATGTTTTTGCAGACGGGCCAATATTTTAATACAGTTGATTAAACGAAGAAATAAATTTGAATTTAATGTCCTTCTGTTTTGCTTCTGATCGGGCTTATAAAATCTTCGAGCCCCAGGTCAGTCGATTTTTGACATGCGATTGCACATGGTATATTCCTCTAATGATTCTATATTTAATATAAAGGTCGTCAGAAATGAAATAAGAGTTTTACGTCCTTTTCAGGCTTGTAGTTTTGTAGTCATCAAATCGGTCAATCACTTTAACCGATTTCAAAAAAATGAATCCCATAACCGCATTTCTCATGAACTTCATTGTAAATTGGTTAGGTTTCAGCGAAACAAAGCTGTCATTCAGCCGAAGAAACCATGAAACCGGCATAGAAATTGGTATGGTGTGTTACATCTCATTTTTGCCTTTTCATGTAGGTGTGGCATAGGTCCATAGCTAGAAGGGGGGGGGGGGGGGGGAGGGGCAGATATTTTGAAGGGGGCTCAACTATAGCGACTCAGCAAGTCATTTAAGTTATCTAAGTTTTCATTAATAGCTACGGGTCTGGGTGCGGCATTGAGAGAATATTTTAACACATGCCAAGTGACCAATTTTAAAAGATTGTTTGTGTTGTGCGTTACGTCGAAGAAACACGTAAAAATCCATCGCATGCATCTCTATGAATATAAAAAGTAAGAAGTGTCAAGTTTTCAATTTAAAAAAAATCTGAGATTATTTCATTATCAGGAATTTGAAAACCAATTCGTGAAAAAAACAAATTAAATTTATTTAAACTCACCGATTTTTTGTTTCCAAATTTATATTCCACTCCAAGAAATAATCAGAATTCAATTCCAGGACGAGATAATTCCAAACAATCAAACTATTGTATTCTACTGCAGCTAGTTCCCGCCGTTTCTAACCCAGCGCGTGATACTTGGAATGGTTGTTAAGGTATGTAGCTCGTGCCACCCCGACGACCTTATGGGATATTATAAGAAATGTCGTTTGGTATAATATAAAGGCGGGAAGCGCGAGGGAGGTGTTAGTCATGATATCTGGTGTGAATTTTGGCGCCGTATAAAAAGAAAGGGCACTGATTTAGAAATATCATTCGAACATGTGATTTTGTATTGTGTAACACTTTTGATTACTTTTCATCACCGTTTTGTGCAAAACTTCAGTTTGTCAGCAATGAGTTTAGCCGCCTGCTTTTTTCCTCCAGTCCCTCCAATGAGGGAAAGGTTGCCAAGATAGTGACATAATCTGCTCTTTCAGAATTCATTCTAGTCTTTAACGCGCACAGTCTGCAGCACCTATTTTTTACGTGAGCCCCTCTGACTTGTATTGGTAACTATTTTCAAAATGCTAGATCTAGCCTTCTTTTCGAAAAAATCACTTTTAACGGATTCAAATTCAGATCAACGGTGTAATTCGTGGTAAAGTTTTCGGTAGTTAAAAGTCATCTACCACCCGACAGTAACATCTAGTATATGAAAACTATAGTCTGGATAATGCAGGCTACATCTACTGAGTACGTAAGTGGTTAAATAATCCAGTCTCGACTTATAAGGAAAGTTTTAAAAATATCAACTTTCACACAGTTTGGTATCCAAATATGACATTTTCTGTTTAATCTCGCAAACTAAAAATCTTTGACCCTCAGTTTTAAGGGTGCAGACGATCAATCGAAACACAGATCAAACTACACGTTTGTTTATCGCCTGTACGATGCGTACAACCAATGGCAAAAAAGTAAACCATTTTGGTTCGTATCCGGAAGTCGTAAAACGGAAGTTTACGTCATTCGAAACTTACGGAGCCTATTTATAGAAAAGAAATAGAATGTAATTTTAACGTAAATAAACAACTGAGCTCGACATAATTGCAGCTTTATTTTTGTGGTAATCTTAGATAATCCGCTTCCAATTTCTAAATGGAATATCGGTTCCATCTAAGTCCTGTACATTTCAGAGAATCGAACCTGAAACCCAATAATTGTACAATCCTTGAAAAGAGTTCTTGCTATGTAATTGTCCACAAGAATTTCTTCTGTGATATCATGACATAGAATTTGTGCTTGACATTATTAAAGCTTTTTGTGGTATCATTAAATAATCCGCTTCCAATAATGAATTGAAGTATCGATTCCGGTACATTTTGGAGAATCAAACCCCGAAAGAAAGTTATTGCAATTTTATTGCCCTGCAATATTTCCCGCAGAAGTTTTTCATGAAATTATGGCATTAAATTTATTATAGATAATTTTTGTCGTAATCTAATATGGTCCGCGTCCAATTTCGAATTGACGTATATATTCCTGCACATTTTGGAGTTAAATCCTCCCTTTCCCGAAATCACAAATATCTACAATATATTGCTCTATTATTGAAGGCTTTTTGCATGAAATTATGGCACAAAATTCATTAAGCATTCGTGATTCATTAAAATCATAAGCCTCGAATCGAAGCACCTTTTATTGGTCTGTATAATTTTGAGAATCAAAATCCGACAGAAAGTTATTGCCATGTTATTGCCCTGCAATATTTCCCGCAGAAGTTTTTTTATGAAATTATGGCATTAAATTTATTCTAATATGACTCTATATTGAGTGACATGATTGTCAGAACCAGAAATTACCTGTCAATTCCAGAGTTCCATCTCCGGCTACTTGACCAAGTACCAGAATACTTAAATATCTTCATTGGCGTTTAACGAGCAAATTGAACATAACCGTGGTCGATTTCAAGTGCATTTAATAAGCTGTTTAACACCTGAAAAGTCTCAAGTGGACCTTGAAAATACCACAGATTTCTAAAACGTAATATAGCTAACATTCATTCAGAATTACATTCATTTAAATGTGGAATCACTTCAAGCTAGTTAAAATGCAGAGCAAGATTTTTCGTTTCCCGTTTTTTTTCGTAGGTTACATCATTTGTCATCCATGATCTGAAGCAATTGTTATTCATCTAAGGTTTGAGGCCATTAACATATCCAACCAATCAAATGCTCTATTCAATTTTTAATACGGTCAAAAATGTCATTGCGTTCTTTCAGTAGGTAAATCCCTTTGCCATGATCTATTAAAATCAGAATGGAGATCAAGATTTTCTTTTGTTTTTTTCTTTATTCTAATTTTGAACAACGGTAGATCAAATCATTTGAATGCCTGAATTAACCCACTGAAAATAAATAAAACTTAATACAGCAGAAATAATCAAATGACGGAATATTTCCTTTCGAATAACTCACATGATATAAAATTTAGATCAGAGGTAATCTGCCCATCTGGTCAAAATGTTTCTGGTATTTTTAGAAACTATTTGAAATTAGAGAGGTATTTGTCATTTCCGTTACTAAAAATAGCCACAACGTGATCGTGTCTTGTGAGATACACATGGTATCACTTGTGAAAAATAACACCAAATACAAGTCAGTGAATTAAGCACTACATGTTTCATTGTTTCTATTAAGGGTAATAATGAATCAAATAAAACGGAATTTTACACCCTAAGTTTCGCAACCTGGGTTGACGACAAGATCTACTGTATATGTTCGCATCCCGTTCAGAAGGTGGATAGAGCAGTTCTGACCCTTCGGAGATTTGGATTTTCTAGAGCCTTCACAGTTACCTATACTCAACCGATTCAGGCTGATATATTTTTTCTTTATAATTCGAAGAGGCCAATTCGTTGAAAAAAGTCAGCCCTGATCCCGCTGAAAGCCTCCAAAGAATCCTGATGAAGTTTTCAATTCCGACACGCTTTAGACTCATCTCTGTTTTTTATGAAATCAATTCAATAAGATGATGCTATCACGTTGACTAGCGAGGTTCGTATGGAAATCTAACAAGTTAAAAGTTCAAGGGAGGTAATTCGATAAAAGCGTCTTAAATCAAGGGGCGCAACTCTTCATCAAATTTTACAACGAAAATGATATCGAATATATAAATTGAATATGTCCCGTATATTTTCAGTTAATTTGAAAATTATCTAAATGAAAGGTTTTCATTGGATGGTAGAATCCCTTTGTACCAATCGAATTGCGTTAATCGCTGTAATTCCTGAACATTTACTTCCCCAAGGAAGATAATCATAGAGGATTTTACCTGCTAGCGGTCCATCGTAGCGGATCATACAGTATTCTTCAACATAGATCTATCTTTACGGAAACTGCCGAGTGCCACTAGCGTTCTGCAACATGTATTCAGCTTTACGGAAATCGCCAAGATTGTATCATCTGTTGAATCAAACGGTCTGCAGTGAAGGTTCCCATAGCGTTCTTCGACACATCACGGTATTAAATAGCAGCGATTGTTTGTCGGAGCTATGTCCAAATACCAGAATACTCAACGAAATCTTCTCGAGGGAGATTCAGCTACACGGAAACTGCCGATTGCTTCATCTGTTAAGTGAAAGGATGTCCTTACTATCGTAAAATAATCTAATAATTATAATTTGCCAACGTGAATTTATTAACATAACTTTATTCATATCAATCAATTAACAAATTTCATAAATTATCCAGTATTTTCATCATTTTAGATCCAAACGAGATATTTTCAAAAACCTTTAACAACAAAACAAGTATTTTTTTAAAAATTCATAAGAGAAGGGGACAGTGAACACGGAGTTCACATGAAATAGAGTTTTACGCCCTTCGAATCCACACTTAGACATCTCCAGGATGTTAGTTAGGGAAGTTAGACTGTTTTTGAACACATCAAGAAAATCTACTTCGTAACGGCAAGTCTAATCAAAACTTAACCAAACTTTCGTTCCGTTTTTTAATTAACTTTTATTTTTGATATAGCCACTTCAGCTAGGGCCTAAAGACTGGCCTCTTAAACATTCGTCTAGTAACCTTTTAACCTAACCTTTATCCAATCAAATTCATTCTCTCTCTCACAAAATGCCAGTGCTGTTGATTAAAGCAGGTCAAACGTTTTTTTGACAAAAGTTCAAGTGGCCAGTCTTTAGACCCCAACCGAAGTGGCTATATTAAAAACATAAGCTAATAAAAAACGAAAGTTTCTAAGTTTAATCAGACTGCGTAACGTTTTGAAAACCAGGGCAATTTTTCAACCAGACCCACCCGACAAGGGCAATAACTCTTGACAAACATAGAATCAAGCAATCGAAAGAAAACAGTATAAAAGACGAGGTAATGAATGATGATCGATGTACAAGGCAGTGGCGGGAGGAATATAAATAATATTTCATTATATACAAATTTTATATTAACAAAGATAAGCACCAACAACAATTACGCAGAGTCGGAGGTCTGCCAGGAATATTCCAGGAAATTTGGAATTCTTGGAGTTTTTGCTGCAAAAGTGGCATTTGGGTCACAATTTGCTAAGACGTACTACATTTTTTTTTATATTTACAAAGTAAAGCACCAACTACATACGCAAACCGAATCTGAGATTTTCAAATAAATTCTCAGGCTATTTCGAACTTGGAATTTGCTACGATTTGCAAACACGCATTTAAAATCCACACTAACCTAGAAATACCCCCAAAATAACCATACTCCATCCCTCTAAAACCTTTTATCTCAAAGTCTCACGCATTTCAGTAAAATTTATGACGTCACAAAAAAAAGCTCAAAGTTCATAAGAACATTGGAAAATCAAAATAAAAAAGTAGCACTTGGCGAAGTGTGTGCACACCAATAGAATGATTGGACACACATATGTATGGCGCATGCGATCACAACGTTTGTATCGCAAAGTCACATGTATTACCCATAATAAGCGCCCAAAGACTAAAGTTTATCATGACTCTCCCTTTGAATCACCTGACACAATAAAGTAATCTTACACACAACGGTTCGACAGGATTCCTACTCCATCTTCTCTTGTCAATCAGTCGACATTCTGATAAACAGAATGATGAAAACCTCCCGCAACTCTATAAGGAACGCTATGTATACAGAAGCAACTTTGACTATACACGTGTGAAAGCACGTACGACCTATATTGTTCGTTTTTCATATATGCTTCATAACACCGCATTTTTTACGACTAACAGATAGTAAAGACATGCAGACTCGTAGATATCAAGCGTTTAAATGAATACAAAGGAAAGGATTTGAGTTACATTATGCTCGTGTGAAAACGCGTACGACCTATATATATTTTTTTATATATGCATCTAAAATCATAACACCGCACTTTTTCATCTAACACTGGTATTCACAGAGAGTAAACACATGTACACTTGCAGAAATCATGCGTTTAAATGGACACGCGCGTGTATGCAAAAGGAAAGAATACAGGTGCTCAAGGTAAGTTTCAGAATGTACGCACACGAACATTTGGAATACAAAGTTCAGGCACTCGCAGTTCATTTCCAGTTATTTACATTATCTGAATCTATGTCCCTGAGTTGCACTATCTTCACTTTTCCGTAACGATAAAAGCACACGAAATGCACATACACGAGATTCCTGCACCATATTACGCGTGATCAATGATGGATGTTTGATGAAGAAAGAATTTGATAATAATTTAAAGACACACTAAACCAGAGCATTGTCAGCTGAAGTAATGGAACAATGTTAATAAGCAATAAACATATATACTGTATACTGTCACTTTAACACAACCACCCTTAGGCTTATCCTCTACGGAATCAACTCGGGGTTCCGAATTGGGTTCCGACTTTGGATTTGTCTCGTATTCGGGTTCTGATTTAGGCTCTGATTTTGGCTCTGAAATGAAGTAACATAAATGCTTCACAAAAAAATTAATAGTATAAATAAAATGAAGTTTTCCGTCCTCCATTTGTCTTGGCATTTGTCTTCCGTTGGCTTAATGTAGGCATGTCCTCCCTTTGCCCCTCCGTTGGCTCAATCCAGACGAGTAACACCCTGCAGTGTGCAATGAGAAGAATATTGCCCTGTTTATCGCCCCAATATCTGGTTGTCCAAATGGTTCTTTATAAGTACCAAAACAAAAACATGCATTCAAACCTGGAATGGGTTCTTCCCAAAACTCTGCTAAAAATCCTCCAACATTCCAAAAGCTGTCTGATCTGAACTCAATTTCCATGGCACCGGCGCTGCTCTTTAATGTCGGCGTTTCATCTTCACAAGCCCGATCTATCGTCGAATGTTCGGAATCTTCATTGCCTGAAGTTCAAAATTACAATATGAAAACGACTTTTTATTTTAAATGAAATGGCTGGAACAATATACCAATAGTATACATTGAGGGTCGGCAATCCGGGCGTTAGGCTGCGAATTTAAACAAATCAGCTACGGAATTGTGCTCTAGAAGAGAGTTGAGTATCCTTACTTCTTTTCTAGAAAGGGTCTGTAGCCCAAGTAACCAAATAAAGATATCTTAGGTCAACGACCGAACAAAATATTCCAAAATAGTTTTTTACGCTCATGGTAATAATTAATTATTTTGACCGCTTAACAATTTGACAAAATCCCCAACTCCTCGATCTCCTAGGCGTATGACTAGGGTGCTATACTTACTTTGATATGCAGTAAGCAAGGACCTACAGTGAGGTCCGAGATGGGTTTTCAGTAGTTGAAACACTATGTAATGGTTTTCACTTGACGGCCGGATTGACCAACTACACAACGAGTCACTGAAAAATAATGGATGAATGAATGTCGGACAACGCCGTGTTACTGGATCTTTATTGTGCGCACACGTAGCAGGGCCTCGGTTCATTGTATCACCCTAACGACTATATACCGATGTTGAAAATCATAAAGCGTCATCACATGCAAGAGTAACTTGGTAAGCCATCCTGCACCAATAGGATAATTCTTTGAAATACTTACGGTGGGTAATAATCAGGAAAGCCTGGCGAGGACAGGTTCTGTTTGGATGACGTGGCATTTAATGGAATGGTAAATCGACTGCACATTTCTGAAAAAGAATATAGATTTATTATTTAGATAAAAAAAAAAGGAGAAAATAACTCTGTGATAGTTTTAGATAACAATGGTCGAATAGGGTTGGGGAAAATCATTATAAGTTACGCACGTGCATTCTCTATACTGACCTTTATAAGCTATATACTGAAGATCATAGTTGTTTTTATGTTGACGTCCCTGATGATCGGATTTGAAGATCACAAGCATCTGTTGTCCAGTACTGTGAAAACCATCTGGCACTGAGCCTCCGCACCATTTAGCAATCATTGGTGATTTCTCATTATCACCTGCAATTTAAATGGGTCAACTGTCAATCAATACAAGAAGGGATATGGACGTTGACATTAAGCAAACGTCTTGAGACAACGCACGTACAGGACGGATTTTTATCCCATTTATGCAAGAGCGGATTTGATGTCCAGTTCTTTTTCAAAACTTCTTGGAAAGTTTTGTGTACCTCCAGGTACAATTACGGACAAAACAGTGGTATTTTGAGAAGTCTCAGAGAGGTCAGGAAGTTATATCGACAGCTAAGTTTGAATCCTCCTCAATCCAAGTATAAAAAGATTAATCTTACCATCATAAAGAGCAACGAAATCTTTCTCGCACTCAGTATCTACGTTATCGTCATCATAGAAAGATCCATTTACAAAGAGTTTTATTTTTTCATCCTCTTGTTCACTCATTAGTAAATATTTACAATACCCATTACTAGAATATCAAAGAGGAAATAACAATTAGTAAAAGGGATATTGTCGTCTAAATATTCGCTTTACCGACTAATATGACAAAGGTACACAGTAGTGTAATATCTCCCTTTAGGGGTACATTATTGCCTTTCCCAGCTAATGGAGCTCAGTTCGTGGTACTGAAAGATGCAATTTGCCTTTCACAGATAATAGAACTCAGATCAAGCTGCCAGTATCACTTTCCGGAAGTCACATTCCTCGACGTCTTAAATTACAGACCACAGAATTGTGGGTCGGCGTTTCAGTTTTCACATATCTTATAGACCATTTCTTCCGTTCTAAACACAAACAAGAACCCAGAAACCGAAATATGCACCCATTTTGACTTTGATACTATTCGATCATAAGACACATCATAATTATGAACTGTTCAAGAGTGTCGTATCATGTCATATGACATTTTGACCTTTGACATTTTTACTCACTTGACGTAGCTATCTTTTATTCCCAGAATCTCTAGTGACTTCTTCTTATCATTTTCAGCCCACTTCTCTAACGTTATACCATCACATGGACGACCTTAAAATAGATAAAATCAAATGGAGTTTGATATTCCTATCTATGGACAGGACCTTGTAACTTTGGTGAAACGGGCATAATTCAGACCCTTGTAAAATAAAGGTCTAGTTTGTCCCCATAGGCTCTTCATACTATCACCAACCTGCTTATGTGCGGGACATCTCTGCTTTCTCAATGCTCCATCGAGTCTGGGTAAGGCAGATAGAGGGGAGGGAGATATTATTACTTACCGACAGTATAAGCCTTGAGAACAACTCGACCATCATTTGTAGTGTTTTGTATCTGCATACGATGGGGATTCATGTACGCTGGTTTATCATATAGACAAGTGTATTGTATCTCTTCAACGTCGCCCAAATCTGAAGAAAAAATATAATGGTAGACAAAACTTGCGAGGGGGCGGGGGGTATCTTAAACTCAGTCTCACTTTCAAAGAACTGACATAGATTATTGCTTATTCGCCCTAATGGCTTCTATTTGATCTACACTTTTCTTTTTTCGTTTTGGATTTTTTTGTTATTTGAGATTCAAATTGTGAAATGCGCGAAGAATATAAACCGAAAAAATAACTAGAATTAGAATGACATGGTAGGCAGATTGTATTTGTCGACGAAAAATAACACTCACCATTGTACGCTTGCAGATAATCTTGGCATGAGACGTTCCCTTCGCTGGAACCCACGATATCAACTCTTACTGTTTTACTTCTGTCTTTTGACCAGAGTTGCAGTGGACATAGCTCTTCCCTGGAAAAGAAACAATATCTGAAACAGAAACCTAGTTGATCTTGAGCTCCTATTCATGAGTAAGTTGGCCAACTTTGTCATCTGGAAAACGCTACCGGAAACACGGGATATTATTCCAAATTGGCATCTCTTTATGGTTTTATTATCAGTGAGTCACCAGTTTCAGTTCGTAAACCCAGTGACGTTATCGGCTTTGCTCCTCAGTCTTTCCCCCTTTCAAATTTATTATCATTGACGTCTTAAATGCCCGATGCTGTGAGACCCCCCTCTCCCCCCCCCCCCCTCCCTAATAATTCATAAGGCCATGATATAAACCATATTTAATAAAATGTTTAACTTACTCTGTGGTTAAATCTCCGGTAGGATAAACTATAAAGCTTGGCGTATCACCAACTACAGTAGTTTGAAGACTGGTGTGACAGTCGACCACTGGATCTGAAACAAAATAAACAGTTTCTTTGGGAATTCTGGATATTACGAATGATGGAGATCACCGAACCAAATCCCGTTGTATATACAATGTGCGATAAGGGAAATTAATTTTGCTAACGGTATATGGATCTTTAACCTGTAACTTATATGATATGAAATTTATATTTATAATTTACTAATTTGCTACATATCAAACCAATGAAGACGCCATGATGTATGCAAATGATAGGGGAAAATCCAAGATAACTTTTAAGAATTCCGGTACTAAGGGATCGTGAACGTAATCTACATGGACAGGGCTTTAGTTTTCCGATCATCAGGCAACTTGTTATCAGACAACAAAGTCAATGCTTACTTTTGATTTTCGTCGAATGTAATTTTAAAGTTATTGAGGGTAGTTTGGTTGCTGCACGTGACCAGTTACCATGGAGATGTATATACAACATATCTGATGACGTCACTAGTTTATGGAATGGTTGATCACTATGGCAATATTTTAAAATTTCTAAACTTTCAGAACCATCGCCTGCAAAATAAAAAATGAATGCATTAATTGGAAGTTATAAAGAGAAAATTGAAATTAATTAAAGCTATCATGGTCTATCCAAACTAATTTTCAATCACTTGTTGTAATGTTATTGTAAAGCGTTGTTGGTTTTACAATGACTTCATCCTGATAACTGGTAGTAATTTCAAAGGGTATGTTTCCGCAGTATCACATGCGACCCGTAAGTCAGTGGGTTCAGATAATCATATGCAGATAGTCAAGGAACAGCTAAAAGAAGGAATTCACGAATGCATTGGATGTATGTGGTAATTGTTATCCAATCTATTCAAAGTTGTTGTAATAATCACGGAATTGGCATGGGTCGGCTTGAATAAACCACCACATCTTCGAACGTAAACTCAAAATATATTCAAGCAATTTTAAGATGTCGTGACCTTTGGACTTACCATCATGGAAGGAAATGTAACTCTGGTTACAGAAATCATCAGGGGAGTTTATCACCCATTCATCCAACTCTACTACAACTTTACTGTACATTTTATTACTGGTAAACAACCACTGACAATCTTCATTTCTGAGAAATAGATAAGATATCATTAAATAGAGTAAGATTCACTGAAAAGGTTCCAAAGGAATGTCGAAGTGAGGTGACAAATCCAGTTGCATATTTCATTTAAGCAGATCTGAAACTGACGGTAGTGGAATAGTTGAGTCGTTGAAAAAACTGGTTTTTCGTCGGTGATTAGGTGCAATAGGTTCGAATCCCTTCAGAGTAAGACAAATTCTGACCGATTCTTCCGAGAGTCCATCCTGTGTCAATGTGTTTACCGTTGCATTGAACGCTGTTCTGAATCATCTAATGTTATAGTTGTCTCCCTTAGATTATTTGTATATAAGCAATGTTAAATACATGGCAACACGTTTGGATAACGAGTAATGAAAAATTAATGGGACTTGTTGTAAAAGGATAATAATAGTAATAATATTGATGAATTGCCTTACCCTTTTCTAAAAGCATCTTCATCCGGAATGGTAACAACCAATGGCGTCTGAGTAACGTCTATTTTCTGTATTTCTCCGCTTTTACATTTATGAGAAACTGGAAATGAAGTGAAGTGAAATATAATGATTGCAATAAAATGGAATGTTTTTTTACGTCTGAGAGCAGTAAATCTTATTACTCTTTCATCTTTCTGTTTCTAACTGTAGAATAACATTACGTCTGATTCCCATTCTGGAAGATGATACGGGTAAATATAAGAGATAAATGAATTATGAAGTCGGTAACCCCCCAATAATTAATGAATCCTAAATAAGTTCTTCGAGTTCAGTTGCGACTGCGACACTCTCAGTCCGGCGTTTCAGTTGTTTATCGAAATCCAAAATCTGAACTTACACATATCCACCTCGTGGAAGGAAAGAGCGAAACCACGTGACGAAACATGTCCACCATGAAACTCTACAATGACGTAGGCACCTGTTGAAAATATGGTCGAATCGTCACACCATGTTTTTAGAAGCGGTGCTGAGTTGTACTGACCTGAAAAATAAAGGATACATATCACTAAACGGGAAAAGGTTTGAATGCCGACCTAAAGCCTACTCTCGAAAGTACTGACCGTGGCATCATCGTTTCATGCTATTCGGGCGGACTGGGATGGATAACTTTGCTGAAACAACCAGCAGAACCAGTATTTGGACTTTTGCAGTTATGAATGAACTACGTTACTGAGAAATTGGAAAATTGCAGAGACCTACCGTCATAAGCTTTGATATACGATCCAGTACAGTTATTCTCGTGAATAGGGAGGTTCATATCAACTGTCCTTATCTGAACTATTTTACTACGAGACTGGGATTCAATTCGGATTCTCCATCGACACATTGCATTTCTGAAAAACACAAAACAATCCATTATCAATAAAAATAGGAATTTGAAGTCTTTTCCAGTTGTTGTGGCTTTGTAATGGATACTTTGTCTTGTTTATACGTTACATCCCTTGAAAACTTAATGCTTTGTAGTCTTGTTTCAGTGATTATTTCCCTTTAAGATTGAACGCTTTGTAGTCTTGTTTCAGTGATTATTTCCCTTTAAGAGTGAACGCTTTGTAGTCTTGTTTCAGTGGTTATTTCCCTGTAGGATTGAATGTTTTGTGGCCTTGTTTAATTGGTTATTTCCCTTTTAAATTGACTGTTTTGTTGTCTTGTTTAATTGGTTATTTCCCTTGAAAGTTGAATGTTTTGTAGTCTTGTTTCAGTGGTTATTTCCCTTTAAGATTGAATTATTTGTAGTCTTGTTTAATTGGTTATTTCCCTTTAAGATTTAATTATTTGTAGTCTTGTTAATTGGTTATTTCCCTGTAAGACTGAATTATTTGTAGTCTTGTTTAATTGATTATTTCCCTTTAAGATTTAATTATTTGTAGTCTTGTTTAATTGATTATTTCCCTTTAAGATTTAATTATTTGTAGTCTTGTTTAAATGGTTATTTCCCTTTAAGATTTAATTATTTGTAGTCCTGTTTAATTGATTATTTCCCTTTAAGATTGAATTATTTGTAGTCTTGTTTAATTGATTATTTCCCTTTAAGATTTAATTATTTGTAGTCTTGTTAATTGGTTATTTCCCTTTAAGACTGAATTATTTGTAGTCTTGTTTAATTGATTATTTCCCTTTCAGACTGAATTATTTGTAGTCTTGTTTAATTGGTTATTTCCCTTTAAGATTTAATTATTTGTAGTCTTGTTTAATTGATTATTCGCCTTTAAGATTGAATTATTGTCTTGTTTAATTGGTTATGTCTCTTTGGATTGGATTATTTGTAGTCTTGTTTAATTGGTGATTTCCCAGCAACCAGTCCCTCACAATCAAAAACAGTGTCTTTTAACATCAAAATCATAAACTTGACGCAAAATTCCATATTGATTTTGTCCCTCTCGATCAAACACAAATGGCATCTCGCGGAAATAAGATACACAAAAATAATCTGTGTCTTCAAAAGGTCATAATAGTCATAATTTTCAAATATTATCTAATTCATGTTATGTTTTTAAAGGTCATATTTACAAGGTTTGTAAGAACTGTCACCCCAAATACCTTGTACCATTGTTTAAAGGTCGAATATTTCACACTTAAGACCACGAGTCAAGAATTCTTGCGAGCTCATCAAAATAGGTTGGCAACTGGAACTTAAACCGGACTCTGCGGTTGGGGTTTTCAAGTCAGCAACCATTTCAGAGTGTTCACATAAGTAAGGCCAGGACAGCAGCATTGGCCGAGTCTTTTTAAATTTCAAACTGACGAGGTTTTTTTAAAGTGCACAGTCGGTAGCGCAAGCGGTTAGTGTCCCATCCGGACGACTAGACCCTTTTCATCCATTGGTTGAACCAAGTTCACGAGCCCCAAGAAAGAAATTCAAAATCTAAAAAATGAGTGAAATATTAACTACAGACTGAGAATTATTTATATCTTCTATTAACAGGTATTAAATTGACTAACAGAGGAGTCTGAGAATGCAGGAGAGCATATCTTAAAAATAAATTCCCGAGGTAGGGGCCCCACTTATGTCCACGGGCCCTCACTCGTCTAGGTGAGCCACTGGCAGATGAAAGGATAATAAATACATCATATCAATCTAATTATCTCTGTATAACTGTAGGGTGTAACGAGTATTATGATGTATCTCTGTATTTTTAAAACCACCAATTTGACAACGTTATTATTTTAATATCTTAATTGGAACATCATCATTTAAGGTGTCTTGTCTTTACAAACTTCCTAACTACGACAGATATATGATCGCGTTGGAAACATATCTTTGTATTCCTGAATTTTATTGGAGCATCCTCATTATAGGGGTGTTGTCTTTACAAACTTCCAAACCCAAGACATTTGAGCTATATGCTATTCTAATGAGAGGTTGTTAGGTTGGAAACGGAGTTCCGAATTTTCCATCCTCCTTTAAGGTGTTTTGACTTTACAAACTTCCAAACCCACGAATTTGTAAGCTATTGTTCATCGAATTGAAACCTCATTGTTTGGAAATGAAGCCACCTATTTCCAATCATATTTCGTAAGTTTTTTAGGGTATTTAATAATATTCTTTTGAAACTTTAGCAACGACCCGATCATATAGCACGTATAGAACCAGACTTCAATGTGTTTTAAATGCGTGCGCTATGCAGGGTTTCGCCTTTTCAAATCTGATGAATATTTGACAATCCCTTTCACGAAACATAAATTCGTTCGATAGATGCCCGCTTGCACTATTAAATAATGCAATGAGTTCATAATCTATTTTGAGAGTACATGTACATGTAATAGTAAATTGGTTTCTGTAGTGTGTCTAAATTTAGTTCAAATGAAAATGTTAAATAGTCTTATTAAAAAATTTACGATAGTAAATGTCCATGTTGTTAGATAATCGAGGATAGTACATTATGTTACTGATTAAAGGTATTCTAGTACATTTTCAATATAAATTATTTAATTTAGCGTAGGCGACGGGGGATAGGTGTATTTAACAATGTGTATTCGAGCAGCAACTTGAAACAAATAGGATAAAACACTGTTGTATTTGGGGTCCCATGAAAATTGAACTCGTAGCGACACTTGATTGCGTGGGAGAGGAGGAGACAGGGGGCTTAAGCTACGGCTCTTTAACTTCAGATAAGAAGGTGGTTACATGAAATTGAACACAACAGAGGCTCGAGAACCCATGACAAACGCAAATGTTTCCCAATCATCGTCCCGAAACAGAAAGGACGTGTCCTGATTATCCTAGCCTCTACACTGGTAGAGCGTACCATATTTTCTGTGCCTGGATGTATGATTTATGGACTGTCACTTTCTGTCACTTTTACGCTATCTTACTTGTCCTTAAGGTGTCTTATCGACCCATGTCCATTCGCCCCTTGTCACTTCGCCTCACATTCTCATTTTATCCACTTCATACCCTCTGTTCAAGCCTAAATTCAAGTGACACTGGAGATTGAAACTCGGGAACCAAATTCTCTGGATTATCCATTTAATTGGCGGCATTTTCCCGTAGTGATCGTGCTTAATGAAATCATCACCGACTTACAAGAGACCACTATTGACATAGTTGTGAGTCTACAATTCCATATGTTTGTCCATGTGCCATGATTATAAAACCACACATAGAAAAAATGATTGACTGATTGGCCTAGTTTCTTCAGACGTTCTTTGATAATTACAAAACCAAACGATATCCTGACCCACTTAACTTACTACCAATTTTACTACTGGCCTATATACATTTGTGAACTGCTGGTTGAAATATTTAAACTTCTTCATTGACAAAAATACACGTAAAATATATATCAAAATTAGGCCATTGTATTCAAAAACCAACATTGTTGGCTTATTGCTGCGTTTATGATCAATGGTGGCTAAGTCGTATCACAATTTGGCGGCTATCAGACAATATCCGTACGTCAATATTTCTGAGGTCACTGTTGAGATCGCTGTCCAGTATGAAATAACCAAAAATGATTCAAATACGATATGAAAAACTTCACCAACGTGATATTGCAATTCTTCGAAAAAGTTTCTGAGATCCCGGAAAATGACTGGTCGATCTCAACATCAACACATTCATGTAAACTTCGCAGTCGCATAGACCGCCTTCGTTATCCCACATGTTGCAGAGAATTAAGACGTAAAACTCCATTCATTTCATTCGCAGTCGCATAGCCCAAACATTATCATATATCTTTAACTATGAAGAAGGCATTAAGTAAACTGTTATTAGAATTCCCGACATACGTCCATTTACCTAATGACAAAAACATCCATTTACTTCAAGAGTCACTTAACCTCGGTCGAGATGCCATCTAGATACGCTTCATGAAAACTCTTCAAAGATATTCATTTAACAGCTATAATTTTGGTATCTAGGCTAACGAAGTCATGGATTTCTTTGGTTCAGATACCACAAAATCAGGAAAAAATTTATGAAACCGCGCCGATGCTTCCGATTAAACTTCTTCGTCCATTATCTATAACCTCTGTGAGCTTTGTAAAATTCAAGAAATAACTAACTCAGACGTCAAACATTTTTCAGATGTAATCATGCAAATGACGTCACCTGATTCTTAACACTTAACTCGACTGAACTACCCCCCCTCTATCTTAGGTATTTATATGTCAATTCTTTACTTAGACACGGTAACATGAGCTTTGCTAACATCAATAATGGACAAAATCAGGAATCTCCAAGACTATCCGGAACTTTTATTTATCTACTTTATATCACTATGGTTTTATCACGAGCGGTAATTCTATTTTATATACTGGACTAACCTTATAAACCAAGTTCAATACCGTATAAATCTCTATATACACTGTAAAGTTGTCCGAGGTTTCTATATTATATCTCGGATGTAGATCAGACATGTAGATCATAACCGTTAAAGGGACAGATTCAATATCCGTTCAACCAATCGTACCTAAGTCAGTGGCGAAGCCAAAGGGGGTGTGGGGCAGAGGGGGCATGTTTTTCAAGCAAAAATCTCATAACTAGGTTAGAAATTCGGGCAAGGGTATTCCGGTATTTCCGTTCTCCTAGAATGCATCCAAGAGATGAGTTAAAACCTCATTAATATTGGGTCTTACCCTATTCTTAACAGGCCCGGGTTTCAGTTGACAGTAGAATTTCCCCCATAATGTATTTAATATATATTTAGTGATGTAACGTAAATAAAAAACCATACCGATCCAATTATCATTGATTCTATGTTTGTTGTTAGAAAATCAATAAACCTGTACAACTATACAACTTTGTCTAATCAACTGAACATTATCCTCGTGCTTCCAAGGTTAAATTTCATTCCCTCGTAACGCCCTCGTTGAATCAAAATGCAAGATATGTTTCGAGCAGACACAATGATTGCATCGCCATTGTTTAACAATAAAAGCTGTTTACAAATCAATCTCCCAGCACCTCTTCACTTTCTAAAATAGATATTATATTGATCCCTGTCAACTCGAGTCAATACGGTTATTATCTGAGTGTGATATACTGCTAATGTATTGTCTAGTCTTGGTCATTTTGACGTAAATCTTGCTTCATCTGTTTACATACAAACCGTTTCAATACCATTACAGAGTTTTAGCACAGCGACCTGCTTATTCCATATTAAATGCTCAGCAACCATTTCAAAATCTATTGTGCATTACAAAACTTTAACATAGTGGCCCGATTCCATGCTTAACGCTAAGCTAAATCTATAATGATCATCAAAATGGATTTAAAATCTATAATTATCAGCAAAATGGTTTCAAAATCTATAATTATCAGCAAAATGGTTTCAAAATCTATAATGATCAGCAAAATGGTTTCAAAATCTATAATGATCAGCAAAATGGTTTCAACATCTATAATGATCAGCAAAATGGTTTCAAAATCTATAATGATCAGCAAAATGGTTTCAACATCTATAATGATCAGCAAAATGGTTTCAAAATCTATAATGATCAGCAAAATGGTTTCAAAATCTATAATGATCAGCAAAATGGTTTCAAACATCTATAATGATCAGCAGGCTTATTAAAACTCTTCATGGATTAACAACCATTTTCAAGTTTTCGAGCTTACTCTTTTTTGAAATCCTGATGGTACTTCTTTTTGGAGGAGTACGCTACTTTTACTCTCGATTTTGCCGAGAATTGTCATGCTTGTACAGATTTTTATTAGTGGATCAGTGAACAAATATAAAATCTCCGTAGTCTCGAAAGATGTATTAGAAATAATGTCAACGACATCTCGGACATACGATGATATGCTTTCAATATTCAATGAAATACGAACTTTAGACGACTGTATCCCTTTAATCGCTTCTAATAACGAACGTTTATCTAGCATTTCGTATCTTTACATGATAATCGACCCAGGAAGGATCTTAAAATGTACGTGACATTAAATGGGTCAAATAAAGGGAGATAGTTGAGATAAGCCTGGACACAAGTTCATCACATTGATTTTTTTTGGACAAAGTCTTGATTATATATATTGAACAATTGGTTACTATGACAACGTCAATATCAAATTGATTTTGGTCATCTGGTCAAGTTTTTCTTTAATTAATGTAATAATGAGTATTTCAATCTTTAATTATAGAGTCCTTATATTATTTTAGCTGACCCTTGAAGAAGAACGGGCTCTTTATTGAACCGTTTAGAGTAATTGCAAGTTGTATTGTTTCTTTTCTAAAACACCTCGCCACAAGATCGAAGACAGGCAACACTCCATGATGATTGTAGAGGGAGCAGTGGTACATTTCAAACTGTCTTGGTGATTTTAATGTGTACAGCTTGTGTTTAAAACTCACTTACGACTGACCCTGTCAAACCCTCCGCGAGTTATCAGCAAGCTTCGTACTTTGCTAAGGTGCGTCTTCTCTCCAATAATTATAAGAATTAACAAAAGCGATCACGGAGTGCATGTACCAATTGAATAAAATTTCTCGCTTCACAGCCGACGAATAGTCGTTTTTTATAAAACAGAAAGGAGTGCAGTGTATTCGGACTATTATAATTTGAAGTTAGGTTATTTATTATACGATTATAAAACATCAAAAAACAGGAAAAGTAAAGTGGCCAATTATGTTTTTTTTCGCATTTTTTGATGCATTGAATCATGTGTCATCTTTTTAATCGTCATGAATCACGTTTGGTATATAACCCTGAGAAAAATCAACACCCATCTTTACGGCTGACACAATTTACAAATCACAAACGTGCCAAACTTATTTTGTAAAGAAATAACAGACAAGTAACATAACATTTGCATTATTAAAGAAAGATTATGCGCCGAAAATTGATATTTATTTATGATTTTTGTTTATAATTTTGAATACTTATATGTCAGTCAAAAAATAGAGTTTAAACTGAGCGATATGTTACCTAGTTCATATTAAGGGAGTTTGTAATTTGTAATATCTTCCTACCCTAAAAGCAGACTAGACTAAAATTAAACAGGTTTGTGAAAGTCAACGAGAAAAATAATATTTGGTTTCTTTGGGAAAGCTTGAAGAAATGTATGATAACTTCAAAGAAAAGCAAACATGTACAGTTCATTCATAAAGTTCATCACGTGACTTCAAATGCTCTCAGGATGTGGTAAATACGTCTTTTGGATGGTACTTTAAACAAAAGTCCCTTTGCAAATGAGTGGGGGATGGATGAAAAAATTAACTAAACATCATACACCATTGCCTCTCCGGATATATTATTTGCCCCTCCAAAACAATCAAGTCTGGCTGTCGGCCTGATTAAACCGAAGCCCCGTGTACCCGATAGGATATATCCATGTGTCGTTAGAAAAGTTTATTGCTTTTCGGGAAAGGGAAGGGTTTTGGTGTATTTGTTTGACAATAACAGGTGTAGCCTACAGACAACAATCTAGTAAATTCCTGTCTGTCAGCACCCTCACACCTGATTTATTAAGGTAAATCAACTCTTAAACGTTAAACTGGCCTTATCTCTGTGGCTGGCCCGGCTTCAAACGAATACAATGAAAGCTATGCTAGCGCTCTGCACGATTGTCCGGCTTTTGTAACGCCTTGTACCAATGGAAATTAGTCATCTTTGGACTGAAGATTATCCTGTAGGTAAGATTTTGCCTGTTCTCTTCGACGGGATATCAGCAAGGCGTGAATTCCCTTCGCCACAATATTACCACCTTTGGATATTTGTCAGAGGCATGTGTGTATTAATGGTGCGTCTACCTACCAAAGGTTATGAAAATTGACAAAAGCAACCACAGAGTTTGCAGAATTCGCCTTTGTGAATACAGGAGTATTAAGTAGTAAACCACCTTATCTCGAATTCCTATCTTAACATGTATATCATATCGTTTCTCTTCTGAAACTTTGATGAGTTCTTTGAAAAGAAACAATGCCAAAATATTGCTTGTGAAAAATAGTAATGTAAATGTTAAAGAGCTATTACCACATCAGGGGGTTCGTTCAATATGTTTAAAATAAAGATCAAAAAATGCATTGGTAAATGTTGGTGCT